AATTAACATCATTTAAAATTTTCATACTACCCAAGGCAATCTACAGATTCAATGCAATCCCTATTAAAATACCAACAGCATATTTTTTTTTAAAGTATATTTTATTGATTTTTTACAGAGAGGAAGGGAGAGAGATAGAGTTAGAAACATCGATGAGAGAGAAACATCGATCAGCTGCCTCCTGCACATCTCCTACTGGGGATGTGCCCACAACCCAGGTATATGCCCTTGACCGGAATCGAACCTGGGACCTTTCAGTCCGCAGGCCGACGCTCTATCCACTGAGCCAAACCGGTTTCGGCCCAACAGCATATTTCACAGATCTAGAACAAATATTCCAAAAATTTATATGGAACAAAAAAAGACACCAAATAGCCGCAGGGAGTGGGGACAGGCTAGGAGTGAATGGGGGAGAGAGGGGACATATGTAACACTTTCAACAATAAAGATTTTTATAAAACAACATAAAACTATGAAGCACCTAAAAGAAAACTTAGGGCTCTGGACAGTGTGGGTTGGTTGGTTGGAGCATCACCCCATGCACCAGAAGATTCACAGTCAAGGGCACATACCTAAGTTGCAGGTTCAATCCCAGGTTGGGGCTTGCTGGGAGGCAACCGATAACTGTGTCTCTTTCATATTGATGTTTTTCCTTCTCTCTCTCCCTTCCTCCCTCCCTCTCTCTTTTTTTAAAAAAATATATTTTTATTGATTTCAGAGAGGAAGGGAGAGTGTGATGACCCATGTTCTGCGTGGTTCAGGGTTCTGGATCTGCAGAAGGGCCGCACAAATGACAGAGATGAGACAAGAAATAATTTGGAAATATTGGGGGCCAGGCGGGAAGCCCAACACAAGGGGAAGGACTTCCACTCGTGCCCAGAACTTGCCAATCTTTTATTAAATTTTAGATACACATCTAGTCCTTAGTCAGGCAGGTAACTGCGGTAACAGACAATCTTAAAGGTCAGTAAATATTAGAAAGATTTATTCTGAGACTATTTGGACAGGAAATTGCTTGAGCCACCACTGTCTGGACTAAACAATCAGTGCATAGCTCTGGCCCTTGCCAGGGCTCAAAGTTCACCAGCATTCCGGGCTCCTTGTTTACACTTCTCTGATAGTGAAGACAATGGGTGGCTTCCTACAGGAGAGGGGAGAGAGAGATAGAAACATCAATGATGAGAGAGAATCATTGATTGGCTGCCTCTTGCATGCCCCCTACTGGGGATTGAGCCCGAAACCTGAGCATGTGCCCTTGACCAGAATTGAACCCGGGACCTTTTAGTCTACAGGCTGACACTCTATCCACTGAGCCATACCAGCTAGGGCCTTCCTCCCTCTCTTTAAAAAACAAAAACAAAAAAAACTACAGTTTTGCCCTGGCCAGTGTGGCTCAGTTGTTTGTCATACCATGCACTGAAAGGTGCCTGTTCAATTCCAATCAAGGCACATACCCAGGTTTTGGGTTTGATCCCCAGTCAGAGTACATACAGGATGCAATCATTGATGTTCTCTCTCACATTGATGTTTATGTCTCTCTCTCCCCCTCACTAAAATAAATAAAAACATATTTAAAAAAAGAAAAAACTTAGAAGAAAATATTTGTAACATTGGGTTAGGCATAAATTTCTTAGATACCATAAATTTCTTGTGATTCCAAAATCACAATCTATTAAAGACTGATAACTTGGACTTCATCAAAATGAAGAACTTGTATTCTTCAAAAGACATTGATAAGAGAATAAAGAGACAAGCCACAGTTTGGTAGAAAATATTTGCAAATGGCACCTTATAAAATGCTTATACCCAGAACATGTAAACCAGAGGGAAAACAATTCAAAAAAGCTGTGCAATTTGATACTATGTTGTTGTTTTTTAAACTAGTTTATTATATTAAGCTACTTAGCATTTATATAGAAACTCCTTTTTGAAGTGTAAATATTTTTGTTTGTTTGTTTTAATATATTTTATTGATTTTTTACGGAGAGGAAGGGAGAGGGATAGAGAGTTAGAAACATCGATCAGCTGCCTCCTGCACACCCCCTACTGGGGATGTGCCCACAACCAAGGTACATGCCCTTGACCAGAATCGAACCTGCGGCCTTTCAGTCTGCAGGCCGAGGCAGGCCGACGCTCTATCCACTGAGCCAAACCGGTCAGGGCAATTTGGTACTATGTTTGGATAAAAGGAGTGAGCCAAGGAGGGCAGGAGAGGGAAGCCATGCAAACCAAGTTTTTCCTCATTTATGACATACCTGCAGGGACTAGCTGCTAATACTTCAGGTAGCTTACTTATGTGCATTTACTCTGTGACTCCTGAGGAACTGTCACCATGCAGGCTCAGTCTTTCCCCAGACCTTAGTAGTAAAACAAACTACCCATCTCAGCCACCAAGACTTTATCCTTAGTAATTCCAAAGAGGGTTCTTTGTCAACAGACACTTAACGTCAGAGAACTCCATATGGAAAGATCAGCTCTATCCATAGTTACAGCTGCCGAAGCTTGCTGACAGAATATCTACGGACCCTGTTGGCTGACTACTTCTGAATTAAATTTAGTGTGTCTGTCCACATTTGAGAAATCAACCAGAGATTTTCCCTCAACCATACATGCGAGGAACTGCCTGGCTTGAAATGGCCTGACATCGTTGAAAGCTCACTAGATTCAGACAGGCAGCCTCTCTGGCACAGTGGACCCATACACTGCTTTGTGGCTAAGTTAATGGCTTGGTTTCTGTTCATTCCAATCCTTTTGACTTTGATTAGCCACTTCCCTTCCCAGACCCTCAAAAAGATTTTCTGAAGCCAGAGGTTTGTCACAGACTTCTAGCAAAATGTTAAAGGGTCAAAGGAACCAATCATTTCCAGCCCCAAGATTTCCAACTTGTTCAATAACACAGGCATCTCTCCCATAATTGCCTCCAAGGGGGGAGTGCCAGCTACACACCCCACCCCACCATTTCATACAAGTTTGGATTTAGAAAAGCAAGACAGGAGACATCAAGGTCAAAGGCACTAACAAGACACCAGATTGCTCTGGTACTAGGAGAAGGCAGAGCACTCACCCTCTGGTTCCCAGGGGCCCACACTTACCATAATCACAGGTGGGCTGAACACTGGAGTCTGAGTACGTTGACTGCAAAGTGGTTTCAGATCCCTGGACAAAGCCTAAACATATGCACAGCATGGTTAGTTTCCCCAAACAAGCCATCGCCAATGACCTAAAACTACCCTTTAGTATAGACTGGTAGGCCCTCCCCGCACTGGAAAGCCTAAAGTCTAGCTTCTGAACACTTTAATTACAGCCCAGGACATATTTACCAATGGAAAGGCAGGCTATGTTTAACTTGCTACACCAGAAGAATTGGATACAAATTTTCAAATACTTTAAACCAGTAACTCAAATGAGTATCCAAATTACCATTCAGCTAAATGAGAAAATACTTGTATCAAACATCTAAGCACTGATTATTGCAGGTGGACCACCTTCAATTCAAACAAGGACAGCGTTACTTTTGAACAACGTTTAGACAAATAATACCCTTCCCCAAATCTAAAACCCAAACTGTTTTGTATTTTTAGTTTTCTAATAAAAATGTACACATTACAATTACCTCTCAAATGTAATTACTTAAGTTATAGCATGTTTACATGGAATAAATATTACATATAATATACATATTATTTCCTATTTTCTCAACTCTCAAACTATTTCACACCTTAAAATAAATTAGTACTAAGCAAGGAAAGCTTGAATCTCTACCAGAAATACTGCTCTTAAATGCTTATTGTAACAGACTATGATGAGTCCTAATACTATCTTTAAAACTAGGTTGAAAAAAATTTTTTTAATGATTTACCCATAACACTGATATTATGACAGATACCATAAGAGGCAATATTTGCCTACTCCCATCAGAGCCAACTCATGCCCTAAAAATAAAAACCTGCACCTCCAATAACAAAAGCATACATCAAGTGCCTTTCTGGGGTGAGCATTCACATATTTGTTGATGGTTTCTCTAGTTCATCTCTTAAAGACCCCCAGCAACAAAGATAACAGCAACAGCAGCCAACACTGACCAAGTATTTTCCCCGAAGGGTGCTAAGAGCTTTCCCTGCATTCTTTCATTTTTTCCTCACCACAGCCAACACAGGGGTCAGGGACAAGATCCCTTACCCAGCAATCCACAGTACAAAAAGGTCTGCAAACCAAGTGTTCTCCTCAAATGTGGAACACCACTCATTTGGGGGCAAAAACGACCTGTGGGAAAATTATGGTCTTTCTTTACCCCACACCCTGGTGTGGGGGTTGTGGAATGTCCTCTCAAGCTAGAATTTTGCAAAAATGACTGAATGTGACTTCTGAGACTTCCATCTTGTTCTCCCTTAGATCATTCACTCAAGGGAAAACTAGCCACCATGTTGTGCCAGTGGTTCTCAGCCTTCCTAACGCCGCGACCCTTTAATACAGTTCCTCATGTTGTGGTGACCCCAAACCATAAAATTATTTTCATTGCTACTTCATGACTGTAATGTTGCTATTGTTATGAATCGTCATGTAAAGATCTGACATGCAGGATGTATTTTCATTGTTCGCGACCCACAGGTTGAGAACTGCTGCTAGTAGGACTGTGGAGAGGTCCACCTGGCGAGGAACCAACAGCCGGCATCAACCTAAGCAGCCATGAGAGTTTAAGTCGCCTGGGAGGTGAGTCCTTCAGCACAGTCAAGCCTTGAGACGACTACAGTCCAGACTAACATAAAAAATGTAACCTCATGAGATCCCAAGCCAGAACCATCCAGCGACACTATTTGTGTATTCCTCACACACAATAACTGTGAGATAACAAAGGTTCCTATTAGAAAAATGGTATCATGTAAGACCTGATTCTGGATTTTTCTACCCTATGTTCCCATTGCTTTCATCTTTCCTCTCAGTGCCAGAGAAAATGACTCCTTTCCCAAGTAGACACAAACTAAGTTCAAAAGCTGGACAAGTATCAGAAAGATAAATTATTTTAATCACATTCTGTAAGTAAGAGGTTTACATTTGCTTAGGCCTCCAGAACTTCTCCCTAAGGGCAAAATAGTTGTCTGGGATATGATTAAAATGCCTTTGACTTTAGTGGTCAGCTTTTTAAAAGTGAAAAACGTAACACAGAATCAGAGCCTCGAGATGGGGAGGTAAAATTCAGATGTGGCCATTAGTGACCTCTCCAACTCAGTGTCCTTGTCTACAAACGTCAACGCTCCGTGTTTAAGTTCCCCACGGCACCTAATCACTCGTGTTCTGGTTTCTTCAGCAGGCTTGACCCTCACCACACAGAACTGTCTTCCAGGTCACAATAAGATCTGGTGGAAAAGATTACATCTAAATTACAGAGATGTCAGTAACAACCCTACTGACTTTCCTCCTGAACCAGGAAAGCTACCGAAATGCCAGGGCAGGGTGGCCCAATCCTGGCATCACTGACTTCCAAGCCAGCTAATGCGGGGTGGCGGGGCATCTTGGGCGGTGCACGATGCTTAGCAGCACTCCTGGTCTCTACACACCGGATGACAGGAGCACCCTCCCACCAGACATGACAACCAAAAACATATCCAGATGCTGCCAAATGTCCCCTGGGCGGCAGAATCAGCCCTGGATGAGAACCGCTGGGCCAAGGGATGGCTGCTGGGGGTTCTTGCCAAGCTCCCAGCCTGGGTGCCAGAGGAGGGAGGCCCGGCAACACCTCCTTGCCAGGCCAACATAAAGCAGCCTACAAAGGAGCCCCAGAGGCTCAGGTTCCATTCTGAGCCCCCAACATTCCACAGCAGAATGCTGGTTACCAGGCAACCACACATGCTCAGCCTAATACTCCCCTCCAAGGGGAAGGCCTAGCCCGTGGCTCCTGGTTGAGCAGCCTCGGTGGTTATCATCAGGACACACGCAGCTGTCCGGTTCATCCACGGATGATGTACAATTGCCGTGCCAGCGCATCACAGCCCCCCTCAGATCTCAGCACCCACCCTCCCTTTTGCTCAAGGCCCACTGGCCTCCCTGGCAGAACATCTAAGGAGCCAAGCATCTCCTAGCGGCTAGGACCTAGCCCCTGGGCCAGATAATCTTAATTCCCGTCCTCTATTCTGGCTTCTGCTCCAATGTCACCTCTTTAGCGGTGTCCAAGCACCCCACCCAATGGAACAACTCCCCGGGTACTGCCCACCCCGGGATATAGCCCACATTCATTTGTTTGCTTGGGGTGGTCTGCCCCGCCCTGTAAGCTGCTTGAGGAATTCTTGCCGTATTCCAGCTGCCTATTCAGCACCTGACACGATGAATCTGACAGATGGTGAATGAATTACCATGGAAATGAGCCGTTCCAGGCAAGGCTCAAGCTCAGGCCCTCAGGACCCAAGGTACCCTGCTCAGTCCAAACCTCCCAAATATCTACTCCTCGCTCCGGGGCTGGAGCCTCTCCCAGCCCGGGGCTGACAAGGGGCAAGAGGAGCTGCGACATCTTACAGGGACACTGAGCGTGGGGGGTTGGGGAGTCGGTGAGGCAATGGCGACGGCAGCCGAGCCCGCTGACGGATCGCAAGGGCCGAAGCCCGAGAAAGGGCGACCAGGGGCTGCGAGGTCCGAAAAGGCCAGGCTAGGGGCGGAGGTGGTGGGAGAAAAGACCTCGGGCCCCGAGGCCGCCCGCGGACACAGGCGACGGAAGCCAAAATCTCGGGCGACCGAAAGCCAGAGCGCGAGGGTGTAAGCACAGAGCACCGAGGAGCCGAAGCTTGAGGGGCGCGAACCTGAGAGGACCCGTCCGCGGCGCCATTTTGCGACCGCAGAGAGAGCGGTATCCAGGCCCCGTGGGAGGCGCGGGCGGGCCCGGCGCGGCCTTGGCACGTCCCCGTCCCTGCCCACCCGGGCCTGACTCCCGACCCTGCCGGGCTCACCTGTGTAGCTCATGGCAGCGGCGTACACTGCGCCTGAAAACTCCGGCAAATGCGCCGCACGTCAGACGCGGAGATTGCCGTGACAATCCCCCGGGCTCTTTCTACATATAACGGAGCCCCGCCTCCCGACCGCATTGGCTCACGCCCGGCTCCGACTTCACGTCTATTAGGCCACGATACTGTCTATTTCAGGGTTTCCTCATACCAACGGCTGAGGCTGTTGCCAATCTCATGAGAGTCCCGCCCTGCTCCCGCCTTTCGTTATTTCAAGCCTGCGGTGATTGGTTAAAAATAACCCGTAGAGTTCGAAGGGGCGGAGCTATGCGCTACGGAAAGACCCGAGGCTCAAGGGCGGCCGGGTGGGGGTTGGGTCTGTGACCGGGAGGCCCGCCAGAGGGAGCTGGGTTTACAGCGAAGGGCACCGCTGGAATCGCGGCTCTCCCGCCGGGGTGCTGTGCCAACAGGGGCTGTTTCTAACATCTCTGGCCTTCAGCTCCAAAATGAGCACGGTAAAGCCATATTGGAACGAAAATCACAACTAAGCGCCAAACGAGATGCTGGGCACAGATTCAAATATGTATATATAAAGGAGTCACTCCAGTGCTGGGTATACAAATTGTTACGGTTTGTTATCAATGGTTACATAAAAATAACAAATATATTTATATAACATGTTTGTATTATATATGTAATAAATGTTTGTAATTTATTATCTGGAATGTTTCCTCACACCTGCAAAGGCCTTGTCTTTTTGAATTCTCATTTAAAAGACAAGAAAACAGAGACTTGGAATTCATGACTTGCTCAAAGTCCTTGATGCTTAAGTGTTAAAGCTGGAATGACCCACTAAAATCTTCTTGGTCCTTCTGGACTTTAGCGATCCTGCAGTAGCCCAGCCAGGTTCCAGCCCTGTCCTCAGCACCCGGAATGGATATGTACAATCCAGCGTCAGAGGCATCTCATGGCTGCTAAGACATTACTTGGCAGAGCTGCAGACACTTAAAATGGTACTTAACATGTTTGTGAAAATCCATCAAGCTACACAAGTATGACTTGTACACTTTTCTGTCATAATCCAGATGGGGAAGGAGGGGTGAAGAGTTTATAACTGAAGAGATTAGTCATGAGTTAATAATCGATGAGTAGTTGAGGGCTCATTGTAGGTTTGGAATTCTCCACAAAATTTTAAACAACTCCTCCCACACACATACACAAATGGGGCTTCTGCAGAACTTGCTGTCATGTGGGGCAAGAAACTCCTTACGTAAAGCATGTGAAACTCTGATCAATGTGCATTCCAGCTTTGGGACTCGGCTTATTTGTATCACCCTCAGGAACACCTGCCTGCCTGACCCCCAAAGCAGTCCCCTGGACACTTCTCCTTCATAGCACATACCACAGCCGTCATTTTATCCTCACTTGATGATTTTGTTAATAAATTCAACCCTCTACCTCAGAGTGAGTCAAAATGACTTAAGGGATGTGCTCAGAAGTTTTAGGAAAAGATCCCTCTGTGGTAAGAACTATATGTGACCCATCCAAGTACTCACACAGCTATCCCTCCACAACTGTGGGTGAGAAAGGTCTTCCCATATTACTTTGCAAGTTCTTCCATCATTTGAACTTTTTTTATATTCAGCTTATATCACTTTTGTACTTTTTAAGCTAATTTGTAAAAAAATTAAAAAGTGCCTTTAGGTCAGCTCTCATCCGAGATACCCTCCCTGTTTCCAAAGCCTCAGATCCACCCACCCACACTCGGGATAGACAGCAGTGGTGGAACCCTTCCTCCACCAGGCAAGGCATGTGTCCTGACCACAAGCAGAAAAGTCAAGCATGAAGGACAAGACCGCTCCTGTGGGTATGCTGCCATAGCTTCTTTGCCCCTTTCCCAGCCAGGTACATGGTGCGGGCTGGGGTAAAAGGGTTCGGGGCTGAAGAGGCTTCTTCTGTCTATACCCCCTGAGGTCATTCCTGCTTTCCAGCCCTTGGCCATGAGTGAAAACGATGAGCTGAAAAACCACATGCAATAAACAAGAAGGAGCAGCCAACAAAATATCTTAAAATCTCAGAAATGTTCAATAAACATTTGCAGAGTGAGAAAATAAATAACATTGCAGAGGAGCCAACAGCTCGCTTTCTCCTTGTTACTGGGGTTCAGGGTGCATGTGTATCTCCCAACAGGTCGCATGTCTTGAAGGCAGGCCAGTCCCAGCCAAGAGGTCCTGACAGCTGTGCACTCCTCCCTCCCCCAGTGTCCCCCACACCCTCGATGGTCAGCTCCTGACTCCAAGAGCCCTTGGGCCTCAATCACTTCTCCCTCCTGGCTCCCTTCCTGGACCAGCTGCCCAGAGCCGTTTCCTCTCCTCTGCACATAGGAGCCTCGTCACCAGCTGGCCAGAGTCCGCACCGGCCATGCCATTGAGGGCCAACAAGCTGGGAACTTGAGCTCATCCCCAGCTGGGTCCAGTTGGTTTGGTGGCCAAAGGGAAAACCCAGGACCTCCTGAGACTCTGGGTGGAGGCGGCTTGATCCCAGCCCCAGGTGCCAGCTGATGCCAGCCTGTCCACTTGACAGAAAAACACACGCTGGCCGCCTGCCCCGGGGTATTTCCAGAAGAGAAATTTAATCTAATTTACATACTTCTAGGTACATTGATAACCAAAATGTGGCCACTGAAAAAAGTTAAAAGATTGATCAGCTCCCAGTTTCTAGCTGGCCCAGGATCGCAAAATAAAAAGATCCACGTTCCTTATTCTCTACACAAAATGCGTTTTTAAAAAAGTGAAAGGTCTAAGGAGCTGTACATAGAAAGGAACAGTGAAAAGAGGGAGGGGATAGGAGTGGGGAGGAAAGTCCCACCCCACCCCTTCCAGGGCCCAGAGCCCCCAGAGGTTCTGGGGGGCCTGGACATGGCAGGAGGCAGCTGTCAGCTCTGAGCTCTTCCCAGCTGGGAAGGCCCCTCTGGGGGAGGGGGGGCGGCCAACAAGGATTTCCGTGGCATTGTGGGCTCAGTGGGGGCTCCCAGGCCTCAGTGGGCCCGCAGAGGGAGCGTACCTTCCCCTGAGCAAGCACCGTGGCATGATGTGTTCGTTTGACTTGGGAACTGGGGGGCTGGGGCAGATCCCGGGTCTCACGAGGTGTGTGTGTGTGTGCGTGCGTGCGTGCGTGTGTGTGTTTGCATGTGCGTGTGTGAGAGGATATTCACGGGGCAAGAGGGAACCAGTACAGGGGGTCTTTGGGGTCCTTGTAAATGGCCACAGATGGCAAACAAAGCCCCACCTGGCTGCTAGACACTGGGGAGTGCTGGCCTTCCTCCCATGACCAGATCACCTGCCACCAGGGACCTGGCCGCTGCCCTGGCTGGATTGGGTAGGTGTGGCCTGAAGGAACACACCCTGGGTTTGGCCCCAGAGTCCTTGAGCTGGGGGAGGGGCGCCCTGGCTGTAGTGTGCCCGGCCCCCAAGGGTGCCGGTTTGAGGTTTTGGCTTGCTCCTTTGGGAACGGAAAAGAAAGAAGGGAGAGAGAGAGGAGGAGACCAAGGAGGAGTAGGAGACAGAGGTGGCACGAGAGAGATCTGGAATGCTTTTGTGTTAGGGTGCCTCTGCCGCCGCTGTCTGTGCTGGAGGGGCCTGGGGCTCCTCGGGCGGGGGGTCTGCTTTGGAGAAATTCATCTCCAGGATGTGCCGCTGTAAGTGCCGCACCCACTCCTCCTGGATGGAGAGAGGTCCCTGGAATTCCACCTCACAGAACCTGTGTGGGGGACAGAGAGAGGGAGGAGTGGCCAGTGCCCTGGCTATACCCCGAGTGTCCAACAAACCTGATGTTGCTCAATGTGGACAGAACCAGCTCAGGATTTGAGGGAAGGGAGCCCAGAAGCCAGATGTTCTCCAATGGACAGCTATCTCTACCCATCACGGGGTATTGGCCTGGTCCCCCGGAGCCCCATTTCTATGCTCAGGGCAGTCTGCTGGCTCAGGTGCTGGGTAGGGGTCATCTGGCTTTCCAAGCACCTCCACCATCTGACTGTAGGCATGTGCCCTGATTGGAGAGAGCAAAGAAACAGATCCTTCCCTGCCAGGCTCTAGGAGAGAAGGACGAAGCTAGGGAAAGGAGGGTCAGACACTAACAAGCACCTACCCTGCTCATGCACCCTCACCAGCTCCCAGCCCTCACAGCCCTAAGGAAGGTCTCACAGCACATGGGCCCCAAACTCAAACTAGTGGCTAGAGAGACTTAGGTTTGACTCTTACTTCTGACTTGGCCTGTGTGGCCTGAGGAAGTCCTCTCACATCCCAGACTCCCAGTTTCCTGGCCCCTGACACTCACCTAGACTTTGGTATTAATAAACTAAGACCTAGTTTTTCTTAATCAGGAAGACACTTTTTGAGAGTTTACTGTGTTCTAGGCACAGTCTGAGTGCTTTATAAACATTCAACTCTTTTAATCCTCATAACAAATCAATCAGGTAGGTCTGCTATTAACCCCATTGTATAGGTGGGAATATTGAGGCATGGAGCAGAAAGTCCTCGCCCGAAGTCACTAAGCTGCTAGGTGTCAGGGTCACAGCCTCACGCTCTGAGGCATCTCTGTCTGTGAGGAGCCTTTAGCCTGGACCCAGCCCACCCCAGGGAATTGTTGAGGTTCCGTCTCCCAACCCTGAGCAGCTCCTGTCCTGTTCCGAGGCTCTGGATGGCCAAGCCCAGGCAGGTCGCCCCCCACCTCCCCTCCCTTTCCCAGGGGCCTCATACCTGCACTTGAGGGTATAGATGTTGCCGACGAACTTAACCAGTGATGTCTGGGGGGGACGAGGCACCAAGGAGGGGACTGGCCGGACCCGGGGTGGGGGTTGCCGCACCTCCTCCAGCTTCTGCTGCAGGTCATTGGCCTCCTCGCCCCCCCTGGCCGCAGAGGTATCTGCAGGGCGGGCTTGTCGGCGCTCAAATTCTGAAGAATGGGGAGGAGAGGGATGGGAGGTAAGCTGGAGGATGAGGACCCTGGGGAGGTTCCTCCTTCAGCAAGTGATGAGCGATTACTGTGGGGATTTGTAAGACGGGCAGTTGGTGCCTGGATGCTGCCTGGCCCTGGTGACAGGTGGGATGGCGGATGGATAAATGAATGGGTGAGCAGCTGAGGAAGTGACTCCAAGACAGATGCACAGCTGAAAACCTGGGGGAACAGTGATGCACCCTGCTGGTGTCCATCGCCCTCATGCCCCTCTGCCCCCAACACTCACTGTTGATGTTCTGCCGCTGGTGCTCCTCGGCTTTCACAGTGCCCGGTGGGCTGGCTGCCAAAGGCCGCTCGCCACCGTCGGCTGCCCGGCCAGCCTCTGGCCCTGGCTCACCCCCAGCACTGCGGCCCACCACGGACAGGCCCCCAGGTGCCAGCCCCAGGTGTGGCCGCTTGTCGCTCTCGCGGCCATGGCCAGCATTTCGGAACTTCTTGGTGAAGGGGCGGCCACCCTGGATGTAGCTGCGGTAGGCGCCCACCTTCTGGGGCCGGTGCTTGATCCACTCGCTCAGCGTCTCAATGGGTGAGCCATTCACGCACCACTCAGTCACACCGAACTGCCGCAGATGCGCCCGAGCATGGCTGGCCAGGGCCTTGCGGTTTTCGAAGTAAAGGCCACACAGCTCACAGCAGGCCTCGGTGGCTGCAGACAGAGGGGGCGCTGCTGAGCCCCAGAACCAAGGGAGCAAGGGTACCCAGAAGTTGCCGCCCAGGTCGGGAGACAGCCCCGCCTCCCACTGGGGCCTTGACCCCTGCTGGGGGTGGGCATGCGTGTGGCAGTGCCCGGCCATGCAGGCCCTGGCAGATGCCCTCCCAAGACCCTGCCACCCACTGCTTACAGGAGTGGGAGGTCTTCTCGTGAAGGGTCTTTGCCTTGAAGGGCAGTTCAGTCTGGATGTAGGTCTTGGCCTTGACCTCTGCAGAGAGGAAGCGATCCTCCTGCAGGGGTCGCTTGGCTGCCACTGAGCCCAGGTAGCTGGTGGCTGAGGGCTTGGCACCCGTGATGGGTGCCAGGTTGAGCTCACGGGGTACCTGGGCCAGCCCAGCTCCTGGTTTGCCTGGCCGGCCAGCCATTGGCACCAGCGGCAGGAGGGGCTGCACAGACCCAGGAACCGCTGTAGGGGGCCCATCCTCAACCAAGGCAGGGGCCAGGTCTCCAGCTGGAGGCTCCTTCTTGATGAGGCACGGCTTAGACTTCTTCTTAAGGATCTCCCGAAGCGTGTCGATGGGTGAGCCATTGACGGACCACTCAGTCACACCCATCTGTCGCAGGTGGGAGCGTGCGTGGCTGGACAAGCCTTTTCGGTTCTCAAAGAACTCACCACAGAACTCACAGCGGATGTCACGCACTGGCTCTGCCCGTGATGCTGAATGGGGATGGGGAAGAGAGGAAAGAGAGAGGTGGCTACTGGTAGGAAGCCTTCAAGCTCAAGGCCAGTGTTAACTGCCCTGCTGACCCGTCCATGCAGTCCCAGACCCGAAGGACCTGCTCCCTCATCTTCCTCCAGGGGCCTTGGTGTACATCTAGTCCTTCTGCTTGTTCTGTCACCTCAAAGTCTAGCTGGCTTCCAGAAGATTCCCTGGGACATGGTGATATGTTAAGGAGCAAGCACTCCTTTGATCCAGGGTTCAGATGCCAGGATGACTGTGACCCAGTGTGATGCTGGGTAAGCCAGTTGCCCGCTGAGCCTGTTTCCTCCTCTGCAAAATGGAGATGAAAACTTCCACCTCCCAGTGTTATTGGGATGCGGGATGGCCTAAGGCGGGAGCAGTTGAGAGCATGTGGCACCAAGCAGCATGAAATCACTGTGCTAAGGCCTAGGGCTGGGCCATCCTCATCTGTTGGGCATGCAGTAAAAGCTCAGCCAATCTGACAGTGCGAGAAAGAAGTAAATGACAGGGCATTACAACCACTGCATACACAGCTTTTTTAACCTGACACCTTGCTAAGCGCTTTACATCACTTCAGAAAACCATACAGAGTGGGGACCATGCTGATACCTATCCTCCAAAAGAGGAAACTTGCCCAAGGTCATATATTGCTAGAGTAGGGGGCAGCTGAGAATCTAACCTGAACCTCACTCCCACTTAGTGTCCACAAATGTCAGAGAGACAGTTTAGACCAGGGGTCCTCAAACTTTTTAAACAGGGGGCCAGTTCACTATCCTGGACTATAGTTTAAAAAAAAACTATGAACAAATTCTTACGCACACTGCACATATCTTATTTTGAAGTAAAAAAACAAAACGGGAACAAATACAGTATTTGTATTTGCATGTGGCCCGTGGGCCGTAGTTTGAGGACCCCTGGTTTAGACCAACTTCTGGTGGGTTTCTATTCCTGCCCATGGCAGACATCACTAATCAATCCCTGCAATCTTTCTTCCTGGGAATCTGGTTGGTTGCCACTATCCAATCAATTGAAGATGACACGAGAAATAGAATCTTTTTGCCGTCACTGAGTGTATGAAGGAGAACCAAGCAGCAGCTCAGTAGCAGGAGCATACAGCTAGCTCCTTGTCTTCTGAACCTGTGCATCCTCCTTTCCATTTCAACCTGGGCCCTCTGGGTATCCTGAGGGGAGGGGATAATCCCCCACCTGACCTGTTCTCCCTGCCTTGCCCAGGGTCACACTTACACAGGTTCAGGGGGGCCATGTCTTCCCGTGGCGCCACCCAGGGACCCTCAGACGGGTGTAGCTCCCCATGAAGGGCCCCTGGCAGCATCTCACGCTTGATCTCCACACGCATTTGTTCAGGCTTCAGCTTCTTGGTCAGGGAGGGTGCAGTCAGGCCTGAGAACATCTTTCGGGCCGTGGGAGGAGGAGAAGCAGTTGGTGAGTGGCCCAGGGGGCTGCCTGGTGGTGGTGGCAACTTCTTGGCCAGGGGCGAGAGGTGAAGGTCTGCAGGGCTGCGGGCTTCCAGCGAGCTGCCGAGACCTCCGCTGCCCACCACCTTGGCCAAGGCTTTTGGACTAGGTCCTGGTGGATGGAGGGGTCCTCCGGGCCGGGACTGAGTCCGCCTCTTGAGGATCTCCCGCAGCGTGTCGATGGGCGAGCCGTTGACATACCACTCAGTCACACCCATCTGCCGCAAGTGGGAGCGTGCGTGGCTGGAAAGACCCTTTCGGTTCTCGAAGAACTCACCACAGAACTCGCAGCGGATATCGCGAGCTGGTTCTGGGCCTGAGGCTGCAGCAGAAGAAAGGGGCAGTTAGCACCATGGTTATCATAAGCATTGTCACCTGCGGGTCTCCTGGTCAGCTGGGCTGCAGCACGCCCACAGGGCTGGGGTAGTGGTTGAGGGCAGGTGCAGGCCAGGGAGCTGAGGATTGGGGTGGGGGGCCAGATACCCAGCAGGAGCAAGGGGTAGCTCCAGAGAGCCATGGGCCCTAGGTCCTGGCGGAGAAAAACGGAACCAAGATTCCACGGCTCTGCAGGTCCCGACAAGGACTGGGGCAGGAGGGCAGGAAGTGGCAGCCTAAATGCCATGTGCCATCCAGACCAAGGACAACCATGGGCACGTTCCACACCAACAGGCAGCACCCCACCCTTGGCCTTCATTCTCAGGGAAGGTCACATTCATGGAGGTCAAAGGCCAAGAGGGAGGGCATAACAGCCGACCGCCAACAAAATCTCTGGGCAGAACCGGCCCACTGCCAAAGGCCCCTGTCTACTCCCTGCCCCAGCAAGGAGGGAGTAGGGAGGGGGCTGCGACCCCCCCGGGAGGGGCTCCAGGGCCCGAAGGGAGGAGGGGGCAGCTGAAGCGAGAACCTACAGAGGTTGAGAGGAGACGGCTCCACATCAGAGGCCCAGAAAATGCCAGCGGCTGCGGCGGCCGAGAGGTCCTGCTTCCCCCAGGGGCTGGCCATACCCGCAGCCTTCAGCTTGGCCTTCTTGGCCGGCGGTGGGGGGGGGAGCAAGGAGAGGGCCGTGGAGGTGGGAGGAGGCCGCCCCAGCTGGGCCAGCACGCTGCGCCCGGGTGGGAGGCGATTCTGGATGCCGACCCTCCTGATGAGCCCGTGGAGCACGTCTATGGGGGATCCCTTGGCATCCGGGTCGCTGACGCCCAGGTGGCGCAGGTGGGCGCGGGCGTGGCTGGACAGGCCCTTGCGGGTCTCAAACCAGGCACCGCACAGCTGGCAGTCCAGCTCTCTGCCCCCGTCACTATCTAAAGCTGCGGAGACAAAACACAGGGGGGGGTTCACGGCCGCCACCTTGGCCGGCCCTAGGGAACTGAGACAGGCGGGCCTGGCGTGATTCTCGTCTGTTCAGGCAGTCCGGGGTCCAAGACTTAGGTCGCAGATTGATTTTTAAGAGGTTCTGGAAAGTCCTGCTTCCTGCCTCGCTCTTTGGCATCAATGTACGTGTGTAGAGCTCAAGGATGTGGGGTAGAGAGGCAGTAGCCCAATTCCAGTGGTCTAATCTGATGCTCTCAGGCCTTCTTCGCTGGGACCCCAGCTATGGGGGCTAAGTATGGCAGGTGACAGGTACAAAGCAGGGTCCGCCTGGCTGCCCAGCCTCATGCAGCCAAAGGCACACCTGCTTGGGGCCCTGCTCCTAGAAGCACAGCAGACATTGGAAGCAGCTTCACTGGAACCTGAGGTGCCCCGTTGGCCAGGGGGCCAAGACCCTGGGCTCATTCCTAGGCTCTAGGGGCCGCCGATGTGTGGGAAGGCCTGATTTCCTAGGGGCCACCCAAGTTAAACCTGCTCACTGAGACTCAGGGGGTTTCTTCCTACACCCTACTTAGCCAGATCCACAGGCAGACTGGACCCAGCACAAGTCAGAGATGCCTCTGCACGGGACTGATGGCCACGAGCATGTGAAGACAGGGCCAACCATGGGACCTCCTGTCAGGTGGACCACTTGTCTACCTGCAGGACCCAAGACACCCCACAGGTGGGAGCACGCATGGCTAGTTCCCTTCACTGCTCCAATCCTCAGGCCCGCGTAAGGCGAATAGCTGCCCCTAAGTAGCAAGGGTGATCCTAGCTGGCCTAGCAGCCACAGCGGGAAGAACAGCAAAGTAAAGTGGGAGACAGGTGATAACATGCAGCATGGCCAGCACAACAGGAGACGTGGCACTGTGACCAATACTCCGACCCAAAACACAGGAACTGCGGTCTCCATTGCCCCCAACCCTGAACCCTATAGCCCAACCTGAGGCCTCCGCCCTCCCAGGGCTGGTACCTCCCTCAGCTCCCAGGACCCGCACTCACTGAGGTTCAGGGGCCCCTCGTCCTCAGACTGAGGCCACTGTGCCTTTGGGGAGACCGGCCGGGGGCTCAGGGACAGCTGGGGGCTCTTGTCCTCAGGATTCTTGGGGATAGGGGAGCCTGCCAGGGCCAGTGGTGCCTTCTTGAGGAGTGGGGAGCTGGGCGGGTGAGCCAGGCCCTTGGCTGAGAAGCCAGGAGGCGACTTGATGGCCTTGTTGATAGCAGGGGCGTCCAGGGGCTTGGCCAGGGTGAGCAGGCTCTGTCGGGGGGCCCCAGCGACCACCTCCTTCGGGGAGCTGGACTTCTTAGTCAGGCCCGGGGGCAGCCCAAGGGGTGTGTCAGGCAGGCCCTTCTGCTTCACGAGCTCGTAGAGGAGGTCGATGGGGGCACCGCTGCTCTCAGACTCGGCCACACCCAGCTGCCGCAGGTGGGAGCGCGCATGGCTGGACAGGCCCTTGCGTGTCTCAAAGCAGGCACCGCAGACCTCGCAGGTGGTCAGGCTCTGGGCTAGAGGGCAAGACAGAGGCCAGGAGAGCCAGCTGTGAGGTCCCACAGGCCCCGCTCTCCCACTTCTCTTCCCTTGGGGCCCGCTCAGGCAGCTCCGTGCAAGGGTTTGGTTTCGGTCAAGCCCACGTGGTCCTTAAAATGATGCTAATGAGGCAGAAATTGGCCTATCCAGTTTGCAAATAAGGAAACTGAGTCTCAGAGAGCGGAAGAATTATGCCCAAGGGGCCAGTGGCAGCGCCCTACCGTGGTCCAGCCGGTGAAATTCCTTTTGGATCTCCAATGTACCAACCTGGCAACAGGTTTTCACGCAACCACTGACCTGCGAGCCACACACTTTACAGAGCTAAGTCTTGGCCATCCTCTGCCACTCAATTCATGCCCCACACACTGGGCTGGAGGCCCCAGCCATGGTCTCGCAGTGCCCTGCACCCTCTTCTGCAGAGCCCTTATCCCTGCCTGTCTGCTTCTTTGCCTCCCCACTCCCCAACTTCATGACCCCAAGGACAAGGGCCAGGTCTGTTCTGCATCTCTGACATCCCTGGGGTCCAGCACAGTGTCTGTCCCTACTGAGTAATGACCTGAAAATAAACACACACACAAGGCCGTGTCATGAGGAAGATCACACAGCTAACGAGGGTCAACGTCAGCCAGTGAGCTGGGTCTGAGTGTGAGCCTTGACAGCGGTCACCACTGCTTCTCTGGATGCCTCTCCCTCGTCCAGTGAGGGTGAAGCTCAAGGCCATGCAGGCCCAGGGCAGCAGCTGCTCAAGAAAAGACAGCTGGTATCTCCTGGGTGCCTTGCAGTGCCAGAGATAAAGCTGTGGCCAACCTGGCGACCCACTTCAACCCCAGGTCCAACAACTCCCTGTGAGGGACCAACCTGGCCAGTACCGTCACCCTGCCACCTTGGCCACTCACCCTTGAGGTCCGGCAGCTCTTGCTTGCTGCCATGAGAAACCTCTGCAGCCACTTTGCTGCTCAGCCGATTGGCCACCTGCTCCAGGGGCCCGGGAGCAGGTAGGCTCTTCCTGGGGAGCAGAGGGGGGCCCAAGTCCATGGCCACCATGGTGTTTTCTTCAGAACCCAGGCCTGTGAGGTTGGGAAGACAGCCTCAGCCTCAGCAAGGCATAGGCTGTCTAGCCCTATAAGAGCAGAGAGCAGGGACATGGTGGGGGGGTTGCTTCACTCTCATCCTTGGTGCCTATGCTCGGCTCACCCCATGGAAGCTGAGGCTCCACCCATAACCCCCCAAGTCAGTATGACACGGGGATGTCCAGGCTGCCCCCTGACAGCAGAGACCAGGAACAGCTTCCACCCCACAGTGTTAGTCTGAGCCACAGCTCCCATCCTAGAGGATCTCAGAGGTCTTTCCCTCGGCAGAGCTTGTGGAGGGGAACGTCTGTCAGCCCTGGAGACAGGTGGGGGGGTCAGAGAGGAATCAGTAGGAGGCCAGAGGCGGAGGCAGTGCAGATGAGGAGCCAGGCCGGGGAAGAGGCTGCGCCAGACTTGTGGGGGGTTTCCAATCAGGCAGGACAGCTGGGGCTGGGGCTGCAGGAACAACCGGCCTATTCTCCCAGGCCGGGCTCTAGGGGGGCCAGCGGAATGACGACATGGCTGGGGACAGGAAGCGCAGCGATCACAGAACTTTGTGTAAAGTTGGTGAAGCACCGTCCACCATGCCCTAAGCCTCCCTGGGCTGGCTGTGCATGAGGACAGGGAGCCAAAGGTGCATTTTCACGGTCTCATTTTCCAGAGGAAGCGGCCTGAGAGCCTGTTGAGCCCCCTCCCCCAGGTTTAGTGCTGAAGAGGGTGAACGGGCTCCCAGGATGAAGGACCGGTGCCGGCGGGGCCCTGGAGGCGCTCGGCGCCAGGATAGGGAGGCGGGGGGTCCCCTAGCGACCTAAGTTAGTCAATGTGAGTCCCACGGAAACGAGAAGGAGGCAAGCAGGGAGGCCGGCAGGGCCGGACCCCGAGGGCTGGGTCCAAGCCTCCGGGCGGATGAGGTGGGCGCGTCTGTCAGACGGGACGGGGGCCGCGTCGGGGCTGAAGTGACTCGGAGCGGGTTTCCGCGCCGGAGAGGCCGCGACTCCGAGGAGGGACATCACGGGGCTCCCCGCGGAGCAAAGGACACCTGTCATACGGGGCGAGGGTCCCGCGGGTGGCGGTGATGGTCTCGGAAACCCGAGACCCCGAGAGCGGCGACAGGAGGCCCGGGACCCGCGCGACTGGAGGGCCTGGGGGAGGGGCACCCCGGAGACGGGACGGCGGGTGTCGGGGCGGGCGGGACGCCCACGCTGTCCTCCCCTCACCCTCCCCGGCGCGGGCTCTTACCCGGCGCGGGCGCAGGCGCGGGCCCGGGCCCCGGCTCCGACTCGGCCTTGGGCCCGTCCCGCGGCGGCGGCGGCGGCGGCGGCGGCGGCGGCGGCGGCAGCGGCGGGGGTGGGGTCGGCGGCCGCGGCGCGGGGAAGGCCCCCGGGCCCGGGCTCGGGGGGCCGGGTGGCGACGCCCCCGCGGGCGCGCGCTCCCGGACGCCCACCGCGCGCGGCCCCGCTGCCGCCTTGCTCTCCGCTTTTGTCACTCGGCACTGGGCGGTGGAGGCGGCCATCTTGGCTCCGGCGCACGCGGGGCGGCCGCCCCAGGCGGGAGCAGCCGAGCGCCGAGCGCCGCCGCCGAACCCTCTCCTTTCCGCCCCGCCCCTTGGTGTGAGCCCAGGGCGGCCGGCCGAACGCCGAGCGCCGCGAGCGAACCGAGCGACCCGGCCCTACCCGCGCCGCGGCTCCCGGCGGCACGCAAGCCGCGCTCCCAGCGGCTGCCAGCGGCCGCCCAGCCCGGAGAGCCCTCAGGCTCCGTCCACATGCACCCACTGCACAGCCTGCCGGTTCCCGGAGCCCCGACGAGCGGAGCTCGCTGCCCTGGGACCTGCTCCGTTCCCTTCCCTGGAAATCTCGCCTCCGGGTCGGGCATCCTGGAAGATCCCCGATTCCCCCCACGAGGATCCCCCAACATCATCCTGACGGCACTGTTGTGCAATTAATTCTACAGAACTCCCCACACGGCCGGCACCACGTTTTAAGCACAACCCGCTTCTCTCTAGCACCAAACAGATTGCCCCCGGCTGTTCCTTGACAGCTGGGTGGGGCCAGAATCTGACAGTTGCCCCGCCCCCAACTTGGCACCCGCCCCCTATGTCCTACATAGGAGCGGGAGAGGCTTTTAGGGACAGCTTTGTAGGGCCAGTGCCCAGACCTAGCCCTAATCTTGGGCAACCTCCCTCAAGGCAAGGCTCCCAGGATCTTCCCAACCTGCCCACCATCCACCGCCCTCCCCCACTTCACTGAAAGACTGAGCACAGCTCCCCCTCACAAGGACAAGGCCAGGGCAGTGCGGGGCTGCTTCCTCACTCTAAGGGTTGGCCAGCTCCCTCAGCACGAAGGAGGAGGCTGGCACACTGGTCTTCTGGTCAAAACAGTTTAGCCAGAGCTCATCCTGGCTGCTGGGCGTGTAAGGGATGTGAGCCTGACACTTAAGCCTCTGTGGGAGTGACAAAGGAAGGGACAGGGCTAGAACCTAGGAACTGCCAGCTATGCCTCCAAGCCTCTCCTGAGACACCATAAACCTAGCCAGGTGTGTGAGCTGAATGCCCAGGGTGCAGTCTCCAGCAGAGGCAAGAAGCCTGAGGTCACATCCCTACTCTACTTCTTCCCAAATGTGACCTCAACCAACCATTATCCTCTGTCTGTGCCTCAGTCACCTTTTGTCCACGGAGGAGACAGGGCTTTGATAGCCCTCCCCTCCCCTCTGTGGACCCTCAAGTGCCCTTCACTGGTAAGGGGACTTGCAGACGGGACCAGCCTATCCCAGAGTACTGACTGAGGTAGGACCCTGAAAGCTCTAGACAGAAGAAACAAAGAAGGAAGCCTCAGTCCCAAACAACCCCTGGACAACACCCCCCACCCTCCATGTTCAGGTACCTTCTCCATTCCCCAAAGCCCACCTATTCCTCACTGCCAAGTTCTCTGCCTCAAGGTCCAGTAAAGGCTTCTACAAAATCAGGCTCCACAGGCTGGGTCCTTCCACGGTGTCTAACTCCGGGTCTCTTCACCAAAATATTACTTCTGTATTTCCCAAGTCATCTCACTAGAGAGACCACAAACATGGTGTTCCGAAGTCTAGCTCTACTGCTTTGTGGCTATGGCAAAGCAGATGACCCAGTTTCCTTCTCTGTGAAACAGGAACACAACAATCTTTAGCCCCATGGAATTGCTTTGTGGCATACATGAGATGAAACCTTAGTATACAGCAAGCACTCGATTATGGAAGGGCTTATCACTGCTGCCAGACAAATTAGGCACCACTGGAAATCTAGAGTGTAGATTCTAGAGCCACGTTGCCCAATAGGATTGGACTAACCCTCTACATTTCAAGTTCTCAACAGTCATATGCGACTAGTGGTCACCCTGTAGGACAGCACAGATTTCCATCATCTCAGAAAGTTCTACCAAATGGCATTGCTCTAAACAGAAGATGTCATTAAGAGCAAGGACCTGCCTGTGGTTTCAAATCCCGGCTTTACCACTTCTGGCTGTGTGACCTTGGGCAGGTTAATTAGGTTCTCTGTGCCTCAGTTTCCTCATTTGTAAAATGGGGCTCATCATACTACCCTTATAGGGTTGTCATGAGGATGTACATTTCATGTTTGTAAAGTGCTTAGAACAGTATCTGACTCCTGGTAAGAACTCAGTAAGCATATGTTAACATCACTGTCGGGCAAGGCAAGGTGGAATTGGATCTGGGAAGAGCTCTGGGCCAGCCCAGGTAAAACCGAAGTGACCCATAAGTGGCAGGGTTGTGAGGACAGTTGTCAACGTACTTTGTAGAGTAACTTGAAATACTTTCAGAAAAGGGGAGTGGCTGCCCCCCTCCCATCCTTCCATCCCTCTGGGCTCCTACAAAGGGTCAGGGCTCCACACCTGCCCACCTTCTCTCCCCTTACCATCTCCGTAGGCTGGCCCAGGGTCCTCAGCCCAGGTGGGTGGGAAGGGCACTGTGAGAGGTAAACGGGGCCTGCGAGGGGTCAGATAGCCACCAGGCATCCCCCCGGGCTCATGGCCAAGGGGGCTGGGGGGCCTCTCGGCGGCCGATGTGGCCAGCAGCTCCTGTAGGATGTTGATGGGTGAGACGGTGAGCTCCCAGTTAGTGATGCCAAAGTCACGCAGGTGGGCCCGGGCGTGGCTAGAGAGGCCAGCCCTGGTGTCGAAGCCGGCCCCGCAGAAGTCACAGCGCATCAGGCTGAAGGTGCCAGGGTCAAAGTTAGCCACTGTGGAGAGAGAGAGGACATGGACTGCCTGGGAAGGAAAGGGTAGATGACGCTCCAGCCCCAGCCCTGCCTTCTCCTAGAACTGCTCACCCTCCCAGGACCACACACCTGGTGCTGTTCCTCATCTGGATGCCACCCTTCCCCTTTGCCCGTCATACCCCTGCTTGTGTCAGCTCCTGAGTCCAAATCGCCCCCCACTCCAAGAAGCCTTCTCTCCTAACCTCCCAGGTCCCCGCTCAATAGCTCGCAGACTGCAACCTCAAACACTTCTCTGGTGTGGATTGGCAATCATTTGGGTGAGTGATCAATTAAGACTCGGTGTTTCCCCCCATCACAGCCCTGGTCACTCAACATCATAACTGCCTGATTTTGTGGCTGTCGGCCCTTGTCCCTCACCCCTAACGCACGTGTGTGCGCGCGCGCGCACACACACACACACACACACACACACACACTCAAACACCATACCAGCACCTCCCAGAGTGGCCTCCATGTCTGCCAGCATCAGAACCACCCAGGGCGCTCATGTTGGAGAAAGACCTCTGGAATCAGAACCTTGATGCCTGGGCCTCCGCATACCTCACAGGCAGCCCCAGGGGTTCTGAAGCCAGCCAGGGTCCCACCACTGCTGTGACTGGGCCGCGGACTCCAGGAGAGCAGGGACTGCTGCTTCATTCACTGCTGTGGCCCCAGTGCCCAAAACAGAGGGGACCTCGCTCAGTAAATATTTGTTGAATGAAGAAACCAGTGAAATCCCCTGCCCGGGGCTGACTCCTCTGCCTATACTCCTTCCTCCAGCTGCTGGAAGGGCCGGGGCGGGGGTGTCCCCATACCTCCTCTGAGATGGTGGCCTTTGCTGTGGCTCCCAGGTCTTCCCAGAGGGGAGGCCCCAACTTCACCCAGCTTGGCACTATGGGAGGATTTAGAGTGAGGGCTGTTGGTTGGTTCAGACTCAGCTGCCCAGCTGTGTGTCTCGGGGGCCTCGGAGGGAGGTGGGTGCTGGATCGAAGCCCCCCTACCTTTTTTCTTCTTCTTCTGGAAGGAGAACCTGCGTTCGATGGCCTTCACCTCCTCGGCGGAGATGAAATGCCGAACATTGTAGCTGACGCCCACGCGGTTCAGGTGGCCCCGCACGTGGTTTGCCAGGCCGATGCCGTTGTGGAAGCGATCGGGGCAGTAGGGGCACTTCCGCTCCTCGTGCTTCAGCGCCATTGCGGGGTCCCCATCCAGGATTGTGTCCAGCCCCAGCGGGCCGCCCAGTGGTGCATCGAGGAGTAGGAAGTCCAAGGGGTGGGCGCCCTCCAGCCCCAGCTCCTCGGGCGGCAGCCTCGGAGGTGCCCTGGCTGCCGCAGCCAAGACCTGGGGCCTCAGCTTGGCCACCAGCACGACGGGTACCATCCCAAGGAGCTGCTGCTGCTGTGCTGGTGAGGCTGCCGCCGATCGGAGGGCTTCTCGGAAAGTCCGCTTCAGCTCCAGGGCTGGCTCTGGGATGAGGCCAGGGACAGCGAGAGGTGGAAAGACTCCATTCTCAGGGAAAAAGTCCATTTCCGAGGCCAGCTGTATATCCTCCTCCTCCTCTTCGCTCCAGGGGTGTCTCTGGTCCCCCAGTGGGGCTGGGAGCCCCTGCAAATGGACAGCATTTTTGCTTCTACTGGGCTGTAAGGAATACGGAGTGGATGCTAGTGGTGAGGGAAAGGCTGGCCTTCCCAGGGGCCTCTGGCCCACGCTGTGCGGTAGTGGCTTTGACAGTGGGAAATCCCTTGTGCCCAGCTGCTGGCAGCCTGGGCCAAAGGCCAGGCTGGGGTCGTATCCAGTAGGGTTCTCCCGCCATGTAGGGGCCAAAAACGGCTCAGCGTTGCCAAAGTAGTCCTCAGCAGCTTCAGAGAAGCGGGCATACACGTCCTGGCTGGTGCCAGGCTGGCTGGCAGGGTTCTCCTCAAATGCCTCACCATCCTCCTCCCAGTGGGGACGAGCGTGCACAAGCCTCACATGCTCCCTGAGTAGGCTCTCGCTGGGCGCTGGGAAGCCACAGAAAATGCAAGCATTGAGACCTGAGGAGGCTCCATAGGGCTGATAGCCGAGGGCAGTGGCGTCAGGGCCTGGGCTGCCACCCCCAAAGTGCTCCTTGGCAGCCTGGCCTGGTGACTCTCGCACGTGCAGCTTGGCATGCTGCACAAAGGCTTTGGAGGAACTGGTGCCAAAGACGCACTTAGAGCACTGCAGCCGTGCCTCCCGGCCCTCATCATTTGGGATCTGCTTCAGCTTCTGGATTTCTTCGAGAATCTTCTCCCTGGAGGCCTGGTGCAGCTGCCGGTGGTGCTCCAGGGCACAGGGGTCAGCAAAGGCCCAGCCACACTCACTGCAGGCCAGTGGGGCCAAGTTGGCGGGGGGCTCCTGGCCTGGGGCTCGGCGATGCTGGCTCATGTGCTCCAGAAGGTGCTCCTTCTGCTTGAAGTAGATGCTACACTCCACGCACGGGAATACAGCCGGGTCCTCGTCCTCATCCTCATCTGGGCTGGCCACCTCCTCAGCCACCTCCTGCAGCAGCTCACACAGGTAAGGACCGGTCCGGACGGGGGGCAGCAGTGGCTGCAGTCGCTCCACAGATGCCTCCGAGTTCACCGTCCAGGTCTGAGTGGCCACTTCTGTGGCTGACCGAGGCAGACACCACTCCGAAGTAGACTGGGCCAGCCCCTCCAGGTCTGTCAAGTGCTCTCTGGCTCCTACCTCCACATCCAAGTTCTTCGTGGTGCCCTCTCCAGGCACCAGCACTGTCCTGAAGGAGGTGAGAGGTGGCGGTGGGGGCAGCAGGTCCAGGGGCAGCCCTGAATTCTGGGGTGGGGACTGCTCATCTGCGTCTTGGAGCCAGTTGAACCTGGAGCGGCCCTGGGGGGACTTCTCCAAGAGCTTCGGTTCACCCTGATGGTACAAGAACCTTCTAGAGCCCTCAAGCTCAGCGTGGGGCTTCACAGTTCTCACAATGACCGAGTCCTCGAACCTCTGCTCAGATGGGATGCCCTCCCCAGCTTCCTGGACCAGGGGGTGCTCCCAGGGCCCCCGGCCACCGGGGAGGCCAGAGAAGTGGCCCAGGAGATGGGGTGGTGGGGAACCTGGCCGGAAGTCCAGGCTGCCTCCATCCCAGCAGCTGCAAGGAAGTGCCAATGGGGACAGGTTAGCCAGGGGCCTCAGTTTCCCTTCCTTGGGCAGGGGAGAGGGGGCAGCCTGAGACAAGTCCCAGAGATCCAGCCCGAGAGTGACCTCAGAGTGGCCAGGAGTGTGGGGGGAGGGGGGAGGAGTGGGGGGAGTACATGTGGACCATTCTAGGGATGTTGGACCAAAAGCCGGATTCAGCTCCCAGGATGCACCTATGCATATAGCCTAGCCCTGTTGCACTGGAGGGAGTGCGTAGTCACAAGGTGTATCCCCCAAGACTAGTGGCACAGTCAACTCTCATCTGTCCCCTGGGAAGGCCCAAGGCTCTGACCCATGGGTTCCAGGACCCATGTATTAGTCCTCCCTGAACTGGGGGGGATTTAATTGATTTAGTTTCACCTTTCCAGCAAATCTGCTGAATCTCTGTGGCATGAACTGCGCCAGGGATGTGGCTCCCTCTGTTACTCCCCCAACCCACACAGCATCTTCCCTCTTGGGAGGGCAGAGTCAGAGAGATACAAAGTCCCCACCCAGCCCCTGGCCCAGTGGCCCGGACCTCCTTTGGAGGAGGGCGGAGGTAAGGCCACCTCACTGAACCTCAGTTTTCCTAATAATGGGACAAGTCCCAAGAACAAGAAGTCTCCATGCCCTTATGCGACATCTAGGGAACACCCTCACTCTCATATCTGTAACCAAAGAAACCTTCACACATGACAGGTGCTTCTTTAAATGATCCCAACCACAGCCCTTCACCAGGGGACCTTGAACACATGAAGTGTAGGGTGAAGACGACACAGCTCAGTGTTGGGGAAACACTCCACCTGGCCCGAAGCCTGGCTCCCGGTCAGCCCATGACTAATATGGGTTCTTACTATGACTGTTCCTGACCCATCTCCCTGCATTTTCAAGATCCTGCCTCCACCAGGGATGTCAACCACACCGAGGGGCCAGCCAGGAATCATGGGGTCACCTCTCTAAGCCCCATCGGTGACATGAGACACTAACAGGGCCACTCCCCCAGGGCTATGGAAGAAATTCAGTGGGGGTAAACCTGTGCCAGGAGCCCAGCATACAGTACACGCTCCATAACAGTGAGCTATTATTAGTCCTGATATGACTATTATTCCATATTGACACCGGCCGAGCCTTTAATAAAGGGTCACTGTCCTCAGCATGGCTGTTGATTTCTGTTCCTACCCAACATCCCCTGGATCCTCAAGACAGCTGGTGAGATGGATCTTAGGGACTTTACAGATGAGGAAACTGAGTCTCAGAGAGGCCTGGTATCATTCTGAGGGTCACCTGACAGAGACAGGACTCCAAGGGTCCGACCTCCAGGTGCCTGCCCCTCTGGCTCTGCTCCTGACAGGGATAATGAGAGTTGACCGTCTGTGTTCATCCCAGTCCTCCCCCACCCCCTGCGCACGCCCAGGGCCTCGCCTGCTGGGAGCTACCTTCTCCTGCCTGGCCTCCTGATTCGCTCCAGTCCCCTTCTCACTCCCAGGGCTTCTCTCAGGCCTGGGCACATCCTACTTGCCCCCCTGCCCTCCCTGAGGTCAGGGCCAGCGTGGCACTCACCAGCTGCTGATCCGATGGGTGGCGGAGGTGGCACGGGGGAGGGCTTCGTTGAGGCCGGGATGGGGCTGCCCGTCTGCAACAGAGATGGGAGACCCTGAGGGGCTGGGGTCCCCCTGGCTGGGGCCCTTTGCACCCCAGCTCTGGAAGCCCTACCGGGCACCTTGCAAGGGCCCGGCTCCCCCACCCTCGTCTCTGAGAGGCCTTTGGCCTCTACATTCCTGAGCCCTGAAAGGGGTTTCCTTGGAGGAGTCTCCGCTCTCCTGGGGGACACCAGGGGCTTGCTGCCTCCAGTGGTCCTCTCTTTGTCCCTGCTGGGCAATCAGGATGGTTTTTTAAAGTCACACACTGGCAAAAACTCTCCCTGGCTCCTCATACCTACGATAAAAGCCAGATCCCAACACCACCTACAAGGGCTGCGAGGTCAGACCTTTGCAGGTTTCTCTAGCCTCACTTCCCTCTCCTCACCCCTCACTCCACCCCAACTGCTCCTGAAATCTCAAGCCCAACTAACTTTCTGGCCAAGGGCCTTTGCATTGGCTATGCCCTTGGTCCTAAAGAGCCCTTCCCTAGCCACCTGCTAAAGTGAGCTTCTATGATTTTCTCTCCCATCACCTATTTCATTTCTTTCTCATCACTCCCTGAAACTGCCTAGTTCCTTCTCTGGATGGCTGCATGCCTGTGTTCCCTGCTAGCATGTAAGTACCCCCCAAGCACAGGGACCTTTTCAGCCTCATTTATTGCAGCACCCAGTGCCTGGCATACAACAGGTGCTAAATAATACTGGCCAGATGATGAGTGAGAAGTCTTCTAGCCTGAACTGCAGAGGTTCCTTCCCTGCCTTCCAGACCCCCTTCCAGGCCTACATCCTAGAATCAAACCCCCTCCTGGGACCCCTCACACAGATAGAGCCAACTCTCCATTATCTGCCTGTGGAGCCAAGGCCTGGAGTGACCACAGGGATCTTGGTCTGCGCCTCCTCTGTCCACTACCCCCATCTGACCAGGCGAGCATACCAATCGGGGCTCCCGCCAGCGGCCTGGGCCAAGGTTAACACATGCAACCAGAGCCCAACAGATGCAATTGCTGGATTAGTATCAAGCTGAAGAAGGGCCAGAACGAGGACTAGTGCCACGGCTCACTCTTTTTCCAATCTCCCTTCATCAAATTTGCTCAGGACAATGAAAGTTGACTGTCAGGAGTGAAATAAGGGCAGGAGTGGGTAGAGGGCTCTGAAAGGTGTGACCACTGACTGAGGGTCTTTGTGCTGAGCCTGAGAGAACGGCTATGACTGGGTGTGGCCTCTGGAAGGTGAGGTTGCTGATGGAGCTTCAGAAAGTCATTGTCCAGACCAGCTTATCATCCTTGGTGCTGTTCATATTTGGGGCCAATTATTCTTGGAAGGGGCTGCCCTATGCGTGGTAGGATGTTGAACAGCATTCCTGGTCTCTATCCACTGGATGTTGGTAACCCCTACCCCAACCCCTGCAGTTATGACAACCAAAAATGTCTCCAGATATGACTAAAGTGTCCCCTGGGGGCAGAATTGGGGGATGTTTAAGAACCCTTGGAGTAGACAGACATGGAGCCAGGGGTACGCTTGGATGCGAGGGCCGGTGTCAGGGTGGGAGGATGGGGTGGGTGGTGCTGGAGACGGTGTGATGGTTGGGAAAGCCAGACCTGAACAAGCCCACAAGCATCAAGACCACAAGCATCAGAGGTATGAGTTTCTCAGGGTGGGGCAATCAGCTCACTAGCAACAGGCCCCAGCACAGCCACAAGTCTCAGGGTCCAGGCATCCTGCTGCTGAGATTCTGGCACCTCAAGCTCCTGAGATTCCGGGCGTCCCAGATTTGATGATTCTGCGATTGCCGTTGTCTAAGAATGCTACGAGCCAGGGGGCTGCCTTGGCCTCTTTGAGCAGCTCCAGCGAGGCTCCTATTTTTAGTGGCAATGACTTTGAAGGAAGCAGGCCAAGCAGAGCCCCATATCCGAGACACCTGGGGGCCAGGAGCTCACCCAGCCAGTAGGGATCCAGAAGTCCCTATGGGTCAGACGAGGCACCCAGGCAGTCGCCATGCCAAGGGGCCCTCAAGGACTCCCATCTTCTAGGATCCCCAACAGGTTTGGAAATGAGAGAGGGAATACAAGAAGAGTGTCCATGAGCAGCTTGAACCCCAAGCCAGGCAGCATGGCAGAGTGGCCAGGAATCTAGGCGTTGGAGTCAGATCCTAGTTTAAGGCCCCAGCGGTGACCAGAAGAGCATGCCTTTCCCATTCCAAGCCTCAGTTTCCTCCTCTGTATAGTGGGAATAGCCACCGACCCAGTTTCACATGGCAGGTGACTGGTGTCAAGGAGGTCCCAGTAAATGTTCCATCCACAGAGGCAGCGGTAGTGGGGAAGGAAGGAGGTAGGCGTGCCTAGGGGGTCAGAGACGTCCCAGGTTGGAAGCTGGAGGCTGGCCCCAGAGCCTCAGGCCCCAGCTCACTCCATGCTCTGATTTCCTCTCCAGCCTGAGGCTCCACAAGGGCAGATGCGTTGTTCATCCCCTGGCCCCCTGGTCCCAATACCAGTACACACCAAACTCTTCATCCATCCATGTGAACCATCTTAGCTCCTGGGAGGCCAATCAGAGAAGCCAGACATTGGTGGGTGGCTGCAGGGAAGTTGTGGGGCCAATAGCCATACTAGAGGACAGAGGAGGCAGTGGACACATCCCTGTCCAGGTGGAGAAGTTTGAAGGTAGCCATTCCAAGGGTGCCCTTGGGGGGATTCCAAGGGTGCCCTTGGGGGGATTCCAAGGGCTGGGTGGGGCTGAGGGAGGGCCCAGGCTTCGGAGTGGAACAGCAGCCCCAGTAACTGTTCCTATTTATAGACATCACAAGACTTCTAGGGCAGGTACCCATGCCAGGGAAGGGGGGTGAAGTAGGCTGAGAGGGCAGCAGGGGATGGGGGGGAACGTCATGTCCGAAGCCCAGGCCCTCCTCCAACCTCCAGGCCGAGACCCCACTTCAAGTCATCCCCACCTCATGCCCCCATTTGTTCAGAGACACCAGTAAGGGTGTCCCTTCCTCTTCAGGCACATGCACTGAGCCCGGGTTGATTCCCTGGGGGCACTAAGGACACACCTACCTACTTACCTGGGGCTTTTGCCAGGTAGAGAAAAAGCACCCAATACCTCAGAACCAGAACCAGAAAAGGCCCCAGGACCTCAAAGCCTGTTCCCTGGGGCTCCCACAGTCCAGGTCCGGGGCCCGCTCTGCAGGAAAGTTAGAGGGGCACTGTGGCCTGGGACAGGGTCCTGCCTCTCTCTCAGCCTTGGTTACTAAGGTCTGGAAAAGGGGAATTACTAAGGTTCCCTAAGCTCTGATACCCTGTAGGTCTTAGCCTGCCACTCCCTTGCATAACACCTTCAGGTGTCACCAGTCACCTCCATGCCATTGTATAAACAGAGCCCGCTGCCTAATTCACTGTTGCTCATCCTCAACTCCTGGATGCCTCCCCACCCCCCACCCCTCACCCCCAACCTCCCACCCCTAGGCTGGGCCAGACTGGGCTCCCCCATTGTAGTTCCAGCAACTATGCCATAACACCTGGTGGTTGGTCTGTCTCCCTGATCCCCAGTGGCAAGGTCCATGAGAGTGGGGATGGTGTGTGTACTTGGTCACTGGCTGTGCCCCAGTGCCCAGCCTGAGAAGGTGCTCTGTAAATAGCTAAGCATCGTGAGTGTGGCTAAGGTTGCGTGGGGGCAGTCGAAGATGCCTTGACAGAGCATGGTGTTAAGGACGAGGGGTGTCAAGCCAAGTTACTGACCAGCTTTATGACCTTGGGCAACTTCAACCCTCAGGGTCTGTTTCCACATCTCTAACATGGGATAATAACAGCAAAGGCTACCCTACAGAGTTCTTTTTAGAATGACATCAGATGATCACTTAAAGGGATTAGCATGTAGGAAACCCCCAACTGAGTGCTTGCAGGTTCCCGGAAACCAAGGCCTTCAGGGCAGGCCAAGGAAATGGAGATGTGTCTGGTGCATCAGCCTGTGCTGCCCCACCACTTTCCAGCCATATGCTGGGCTCCTCCTTACCACAGGGCCTTTGCACCAGCCGCCTCCTCTACCTGGCTCCACTCAAATTCCACCCCCTCAGAAAGGCTTTCCCAGGTCCCCCAGGTACAGGCCTGGTACTCTATTGAACGCCTTCACAGAGTCTGTCACTACCTGCCTGTATATATTTAGTTGCTTGTTGTCTGTCTCCCCTATTAGACTGTCAGGCCCCTGAGGGCAGGGACTTGTGCCTCTTCCTTTATGGCTGTATCCCTAGCCTAGAACAGAGTCTGGCACATAGTAGGTGCTGAGTATAATGAATAACTGATGAAGTGGAAACAGTATGAGGTCCCCTTTTGCTGGGTAAACCGAGGCACAAAGTGGTGGAAGGCATCCCCGACTAGCCAATCTCTCCCCTGCCACTAGAGGGCACAAGCTGTTTTGGCTCATGGCTCAGGGGCAGGACTCACCAAGACAGTGCAGGAAGAGAGAGCCAGGATAGACCACTGAGGCAGGGTAACCCTGGGAAACAAGTGGGCTCAGGAAGGGAGCTTAGGATCCTAAGCTGGGCACCTGGACCCACTTAGTGTGCTCAGAGGAGGAAGCCAGGTAGATCTGAGTTCAAGTCCCAGCTCCTTGTGACTTACTATGGGGCCTCTGTCAGGTAACTGGTCCACAGAACCTCTGTTTAGTAACTGCAAAATGCAAAACTAAGCAGAGAGCCAGAGAAGGCTCTGGACCCAAGAAGAATCTGAATCCCAATTCAGCCCCTGCTGGGCTGGGTGACCTGGCCCTCTCTGAGCCTTGGGCACTGAGCTGGATGCTCCATCAGGGCCACCGGGCCCACTCTCTTACCAGAAATGCCACCTCTGCCATCCAGAATGTCTCGGGGGCCCTCCTTGGTGACCGGCAGGTAATGGGTGGACCGGAAGATGCCACCATCCCCTTCAGCTGCCTCAGCCCCACCCTCAATGTCCTCTCTCGGTGCTGGGCCGGGCAGTCTCTCAGGGCCTCGAGGACGGTCTGGGGCAGCCAGGCCGCCCACCAGGGGTCCATCCATGGATGCTCTCTGCTTGGCTCCAAGCACTCAGCTGCTGGGCTGGCTCAGCAAGGCATTGTAGATCTGGGGGCAGAGAGACAATGCTTAGGGGAGGTAGGAAAGGGACTCTGCCTCAGTTTCTCCTTCCTTGAAGCCCCAGTCCTCACCCTTGGAGCCTAGTATGTACTTCAGTTTACCTCCCAGCCCAGGTGAACTAAATAAATGGTGCTGAGGCCTTACCCAGATACAGTGTAGAGAGAACACCTCTCTTTACACAGATCTGGTGCTGCCTCAGTTTACCCATTTTTACACATGCACACCCAGCCACCTTGTTTTATTCCAGCATTAATCCTGTCACTTTTCACACATGCCTCCCTTTTGCACTTTCCCCAGTTGTGCCCTCACTTCCATGCACACATGTACAGTATGCCCGTGCCTTGGCATGCATGCAGGTCATCTCTACACTCTGATCTTATACCGGAAGATCATTACCCCTGCACTTTTCCCACGGCCCAGTCCTCCCCCCAGCACGACCTCAGGGTTCTCCAGCATTAATACCTTCACCCTCACAACAGCCTCAAGTGACCCCAGATTAACCCTTTTGCTTTCCCCCAACATCACCCCTCATGCACACCCCAACCTGGGTTCCTCCCTCCCACCCTCCCAAGATCTCTCTAGTTTGCAGGCAACAGGGATGGATGGGGCTCCTGGTCCAGAAATGAGGACCCTTGGGGAAGCCACGCGGGTGGGGGCTGTTCTCTACACCTATAAATACCTTCAAGGTAACGTCGGAAAGTGAAGGGCAGGAATGAGGCGCCCTCCCTGGGGAGATGTTGGGGAGGCCGGCCGAGGCCACCGGGGCGGGGCCGGGGCTCCCGGCCTGGCTGCAGGCGCTGCCCGGGGGGCCTAGGGGCTCCCAAGGGGCCGGTCCGTGGACTGGCAGTCGTGGCGGGGGTCTCTGCCCAGGCCTGGCGGAAGCACCTGCAGGTGCCCACCGGGTGGGTAATGCCAACGGGGAACCGGCAGGACCGCAACTTCCGAGCACTTTGGCAGCGTGGACACCGGGGCTCCAGCCTGGACGCCCCCCCGGGAGTGGCCGGGGTGGGAGTGGCGCCGCGCCAGCGCACCCCTCGGGGGACCGAGGTCCAGGAGCTGCGCCCTCCGCCCGTGCATCTCGGGGTAGGAGACCCCGCGGGACGCGCAGAGGTGGGGGGGACACCTGCCCCCAGACCCCCGCTCCTCCCCCCACCTGCGCGGCCCCGCCCCCGCCCAGGCCCCGCCCCTGAAGGCCCGCCCCGCCCCCCGCCTCAGGGGGTCCCGCCCGGCCAGGCCGGGCCGGGCCTCCCACTCCCCGCATCGGCTCCGCCCCGCCCGCGGGCGCCCCGGGCCAGACCGGGCCTCACCGGGGAGGCGGCGCCGCCGGCCAGGCGCCGGGCTCGGAGCTCCCCTCTTTGGTGCGGCCGTCGCTGCCGTTACCGGCGCCGGTGCCGCGGCCTCCGCAGCCACCGCTGCCTCCACCGCTCAGGGGACATTGTCCCTTTAAATCGCTCCCCCCCGCCGCCCCGCCCCCCCGGCGCGCCGCCGTGACCTAAGCGCGACAGCCCCGCCGCGCCGCCATGATGGGGAGGTCCAGGGCGCCCCCCTCCCCCCCACCCTCGGCCCCCCAGCGGCGCCCCCGGGAAGGGGAGCGGTCAGCGAGCGCGCGCCATGTTGGGAGTGGCCAGGCAGGTCCCGCAGCCCGGGGGTCCGGGCGAGGCTCCGTTACCATGACAACACTGCCCTCCTGCCCCCGGGGCTCTGCATCACCCACTGGTTCTTCCAAGGCTCTGCTCGCTGATAGCACCCGGAGCGTGGGCAGGGGGCAGAGGAGTTCCCTGCGGGTCACTCCTGCATCACTGAGGGTTCCCCCCAGCCCATCCTTAGCCGTCCGTCCCCAGTCAGCTGCCTTCCAACGGCAAGCTCCCGCCCTGCTCCCTCATCACCCACCCTGGACCTCAAAACCGCCATGCCCCAGACCTGCCCTAGGTTCCCACTGCTAAGACCCCTTCTCCACTCAACCCCCAGAATTGCAGCCTCCAGGTCGACCCTATCATACACGCAAAAACAGGCCTGTTGCCTTCTCCTAGCCACCCATCCACATGTCTGACAACACGTTCACTTCCCCACCCATTCATCCACACACCCAACTGACCAAACGCATCTACCCACCCCGTCAACTAACCATCTCTCCAACATCCATCCATCCATCCATCCATCCATCCAAATACCCACTCAAACCAAACCACCCATCCACCTCCCATCTACTCATCCATCTATCATATAACTAATGTGATCCCATTAGCCAGCTAGCCACTCTCCCAAATCCACCCACCCATCCACCCATCTGAACATCCACTCACTCACCCATCCATGTCTCATCTACCTGTCCATCCATCCACCACCCAAGTAAATACCTACTTACCCACACAACCCCACTCTTCCCTACACAGAACCTTCTACCCAGCTACCCAAATACCCATCCATCCATCAGTTGCATGTTTACTTGTCTGTCTCCTCCACTAGAGTGTAAATTCCCTGAGGACAGGAGTCCTATGTGTCTAATTCATTACTGTTTCCCCACTGCCCAGCTCAAGAGTCTCCGGACACTTGAACAAATGTTCATACAATGTGGTACATACTCAAATTCAAATATTTATTTCCTAGTACGATACTGGCCTTTTCTAGGCAGACATACCCATCCCAGCCAACCAACTAAACTACTCACTCACCTACTAGTGCACAAACATCTAACAAATGCTAACTTATTCATTTGCCTCTCATCCATCCTACCCCTCACCCATAATTCAAATGTTCGCTCAGTTATCCAACCAACACCCACAGACCTCAACTACCTCCACATCTACCCGCCCCTTCCTTCATCTGCTTCCCAGACCCATGCTCTCCCTGCCATGAAGGAGCTAGTATGGGATTAGGGGCCCTAGAAGATGCTCTCATCCCAGGCTTGGGGGTTGGTGGAGGTGGGATCTGGGCTTCATTGAGAAGTAGGTGTTGGGTCTAACAAATGATGAATACCTTTTTTTGAATACTTTAAACTCCAGGTTTTTTTTTTTTTTTTTTTTTTTTTTTTTTTTTTTTTAAACTGTGTGAGGACCTTTAGATCCAATTTACAGATGAGGACAATGAGGCTCTGAGAGAGTGAAGGTCTGAAGTCACACAACTGGTGAGAAGCTCTTTACGTCTCCCCCTTTGTGAGCCCTCCAATTAGGGGAGGATTGGGGAGAGCTGAATTGGGGAGGGTGCTTTCTGATTGGCAACACTTAGGGACAAAGAAACCATCAATTTTATGGAAATCAAGATTTTACTGGGCAACCTCACAGTGCCAGGCTGGTTGCCATCTGCAGCTCCACTCCACACTGTAGGCCATGTAGGGCTGAGGCAGGGCCCCTAAAACAGGTATCCTTTTGCTTCCAGACCACGTGGGGTGGAGTGGGCAGCTCAGGTGGTGTCTCCGTTAACGCAGAGTTCTTTGAGAGGCAGGGGCTGGCTCCTGGACCCCGACGTCCTAGGAAGATGCTGCAGGTTCTGGACGGCATCCCTCAGCTGGGTTAGAGAGCTCTCCATTTCAGCCAGGCGGCGTTCCTGGAGGGCAGCGGCAGTGGGCTCAGAGCCAGGGGAGAGTTGTACCCCAACCCTTGCTTCCTCGCCGCCCAGACCTGCCCCAGGGTTCAGACAGGGGTTCTCACCAGAGTTTTCAGCTTGTGGGCCTCACTGCTTGGGGGGTCGCGCTCTGGATCCAAATGCGAGGTCCTGTGGATTTCGGGGGTAAGTGGGGGTAGTTCAGAAGTTGGGGAACTCCCCTCCAGCCCCTGATTGGAGAGTTAGGGATCCTGGGCGGGACTTAGAGTTGGAGGAGGGGTCTGCCCAGACCAGAGGGCGGGGCCTAGGTAAACTTGAAGAGGCCATCAGAGCCTGGAACGCCTAGGACGAAAGGACCAACGAAACCTTTGGAGGCGGGGCTAGGCCCGTCCTGGGTCCTGTGGTGACCGGGATAGGGGCGTGCCCAGACTGAGAGAGCCTGGCCCAACCTGGTTGAGAGGGCCTGATTGAGGGTTGGGGCCTGATGAGACGACCAGCCAGCGACTTGGGGGGCGGGCTCACATAGGGGCGGGCAGAGCTGCCCAAGAGGTGGGTCTTAGGTGTGTTGGGACGAGGCTGGCCTAGGGGGCGTGACCGTGCCTGGCGAATTTGAGTGGGACTGATTGAGAGGCAGGACCTGAATGACAGTGGGTTCTGGGCGATCTGATTACGTCTAACGGGTCCACGTAGGGCGGAGCTGATGGAAAGGCAGGGCTCACCTTCCCCCGAGCCTGGCGTCCAGGTCTTGCAGCTGGCCACGAAGCTGCTGCTGCTGCTCGGTCAGGGACCGGATGTGGGTGCCCAGCGACTCCACGAGGCCGGACAGCATCTTCTGTTCCTCGCGCAGGGTGGCCACCTCGCACTGCAGCTCTGCCAGCTGTAGGGGAGGGAGCCGCTGTATCCTGACCCGCCGTTCCACCCCTTCTTCTCCCGGAAGACCCTGACCTTCCTGTTCCTTGTGCTCTGCCTCCTCGCTGCCCTGCCTCCTGGGGAACATCGCTGGCTTGTACAGAGGAGGAAATCGAAGCGCAGAGAGGGTTGGACTAGGCCCGGGGTAACACAACGTAGGGCGCTCATAACTGAACCCAGACCTGCCTGGCCTCCAGTCTCGTCTCTCCCGTCCAGGCGTGGACCTAGGCTGGACCTCACCTTGCCCACGGGTCGGTGCGTGCTCAGCGCCTGGTCTGTGTCTCGCGGCTGGTCCAGCTGGCGCTGCCAGGGTACTGACGGCTTCCGAGGCAGCGAGGCCGAGGCCCCGGTCCAGGGCCTGCCGCGGGGCTTGGGGCCGGCGCGTAGGGAGCCTTTGGGTCGCGGCCGAGGTCCTGCAGAAGGGCAGCGGCGAGCCGGGCGGCCAGCCGGTACGCTCTGCGTGCGCTGCACCGGCCGGGGCAGCCGTGGGGGTCGCCGCTCCTCATCTGGCCGCTGCCGGGCCCAAGTTCCTGAGCCATGAACGCTGCGCAGGGACTGGCTCTTGGAGATGAGAGGGGTGTGCTTGGGGAGGTCCCGAGGGGGCAGGAAGCCGGGCTTCTCCCCTGCGGAAAAGCTGGAGGTGGAATGGAGGAGCTCAGACCCTTGACTGGCCCCTGAGCTGATCCCACCCCCAGTTTTGACTGGAAATGACCAGACCCATGATCTTTTTACTTCGATGTGACCCAGTCACTGATGAGGTCATATTCTGACCTCCAACTCTGCCCTGGACTCTGACACCGTGTGATCTTTCTCTGTAGCATCATTTCCAATCTGACCTTGGGCTCCACCTCTGCTCACCAGGGTATCCTCTTCCTTCCTAACTGATCCCCTCTTATCCCCAACCTCTGACTTTAAACTGTCCCTGTCTGCCTCCTGAAAGACCATGGTCCCTGACCTCTGACCCCAAACATGACTCTGCCCATACCTTTGACCCATCTGACCCTGACCTCTGCTTACAGTATGAACCTGAACCTGACCTTTGATGATATACCTTAACATCTGACCACATTCTGACCCCTGATTTAACCCCATCACCAGCCTCTCACTGAAATGTGACCATCGCTGAACATGGTGTCACTTTCTCTCTCGGATGCCACATGTGACCTCTCCCTGACCTCTGCCATGACCAAGTCCCACCTTGGACTTCAGTCTGATCCTGTGCCTGCCCTCTGACTACACTGTGGGCCTCTCCCTGACCCCTTGGAAGAAGCCGTCTTCAGCCTCTGACCTCCATCCAACACTTTCGGACACTGACCCCAATGTGACCCCATCTCTGATCCCTGACATAATCCTGCCTTCACATAACCCTGCCTTCCCCACCGATTCCAATCTGACCCTGTGCTTGCCTTTGGCCCTGCCCCTGCTCCCACCCATCAGAACTGGACCAGACAGCAAGCAGGCAGGTTACCTGGAATAGACCTGGGCTGGGGGTGGTGGGAGACGCATTGGCACAGACACAGGTACAGGGCGGCCTTCCTCAATGGCTTGCAGGATGGTGGGCAGGGGCTCCAGGCTGTCACGGGTTGCCTGGTGGGGCATGTTAGGGAGGATGCTGAAAAGCTCTCTGGGCCAGAAGCTCCAGGCCCTCTTGCTTCCCTACCCCATGTTCTGGTCTCTAGGCTCAGGACACACCTGGTCAAGTTCAGCAAAGATGGTACAGAGCTGGGCATGCAGGACCGCCAGCTGGAGGGCCAGGTCTCTGCTGCCCTGGTAACCACTGGGTGCTGCATTCACATCCACCATGGCCACTTGGTCCAGGAAGCGTTGCATGGCAGGCCCATGATTCTCCAGGAAGCTACTCATAAAACCCATGTAGGCTTCCTTCTCACCAAACCTGGGTCGGGGTCCAACTGGGTAGGTCAGGTCAGGCATCTGCCACCCCCATGGCCGAACCATACCCCCCATCCCCAGCCTTCCAGCACCTACGGGGCTCGGTTGGCAAGGTTCTGGATGACCTTGGCAATCAACGTGAGGGTGCGGGCCGGGGCAGGTGCCGGGTGCTGTGGTGCCAGGCCAAAGAGGCTGGGTGCCAAGATGGCAGGACACAGGAGCCGCAGGAAGAGAGAGGCACACACCAGCCGGGGGCCCAGTGCCTCGGAACCTCGTGCCTTGCATGCTTCTCGCCAGCCTGAGAACACGGTGCCCAGCTCTGCTGGGAACCAGCTGGGACAGAACAGGCAATGGTCAAAGGGGGAGTGTATGGGCATAAAGTTCATGGATGATCAAATTCCTAAAGTCAGGGATTAGGAGTCACCTATGTTCTGAGTTCCAAGATTTAGAGACATCGGGGATAATGATGCTTGGGGGTCAGGATTTATGGTAGTGTTATCGTGGTGACTGCTGGAGTCAGTAATCTTGGAGTTGGGGGTACAGGTTCACATGGGGACAGCTATAACATAACTGATATCCTGTAGCCAGATCTAGCCAGACAGAGTACATGATATGAATAGAATGGGCTCACGGGGTCACCTAGGTTCAGAAATCATGGTATTGATGTCCCACGTGACATGGGATTAGGTATACAGCTTAACCTAGAGTCAGAGATCAATAAATTGGAATCCCAGGTTTCCTGTGATCATTTGCATAGGATTTGGGGTACAGTGTCACTTAAGGCTAGGGGTCATGGGATTGAGGGCACGACATCACCTGAGATCAGAGGGCATAGGATTGAGGTCCTATATTAACGAGGGTCAGATGGCATGGAATTACGGTATGGGGTCCCCTGTGGTTAGAGGACAAGGAATTGTATCCCAGGTTACATGGCATTAGGTGGCAAAATATTGGGGATGAGTTACCAGAGTTAGCAAATAAAACTACAGGATAACAGTTAAACTTGAATTTCAAATAATAAATAATTTTGAAATATAACTATGTCCCAAATATTGCATCACATTTAGCTGGGCACCCTGCATTTTATCTGGCAACTAGCACAGTGGCTGGGAGGCAGGGGCAGGCTCAGGGGCTGGAACCCTGGTTCTTACTCATAGGAGTGGATGATGTTCTCGAAGACCTCCTCACAGCTGCTTTGCAGTCTGGCTTGGTGCTGGGGCAGCTCTGAGGCTGGGCACTTGCTGGGGTCCACCTCACAGTCCTCAGTGGAGGCACAGATTCGCCGCAGGACCTGCCCTGCAGTCCAGCACAGCCAGACGGGGGCCAGGGCCATAACCACCAGGACCCACCAACCCAACCTTCAACTCTTCTCCATTTACTTTGGAGGCACCTAACCTCTTGGGGAGTCCCCGGTTCCCTCTAGGATCCCGGTACCTCCGAGGTATCACCCACTACCAGAATCCAGGTTACCCAGGTCCTCCCAGAAGGCTTCTACAGGCCCACCCACAACCCCAGCGTCGGGGATGTTGCTCACCCAGCGTCTCTTGGAGGTAGTCCTGTGCCACCAGCTTCATGTACTCATCGATGGCCTTAGTGGCCAATGTATTTTCCCGGAACAGCAGCGCCTCGCGGCCTCCACTGCGTGCCAACTCCGCAGTTCCCAGGTCTGTCACCAATGCCTGGGCATGGGGGGGTGGGTGGGGGGTGTCATGTTGCTTGGGTGTAGACTGAGCCAGGGGGAGCCCCTGTTCTTGGTGAGTCCCTCTCACCTGGGCACAGGTCGCGCCCCTCATAGCTACAGCTCAGGCCTGGCCCTCACTGCTGGGGCACCTAACGGGTGGGAACCTCCACCCCGCAGCAGAAATATAAGCCTTTCAGCGCAGAGGCTCAGCTCAGGCCCCGCCCTGCGCAGCTCAAGTTTAAGCCCCGCCCCTCCAGGTGCCCCACCCTTCGTAGCTGAAGCTCAGACCCCGCCCCTCAAGGTGTCCGCCCCTCGCAGGTGCCACTTGGTCTGGTCACCCGGGTCCGCCCAGTCGCTGCGACGCACCTGAGCCCGGCCAGTGGCCTGCAGCACGCGCACCATGGCAGCCGCCAACTCCTCCTTGGCCTGCGCGGACAGCTCGGGCTCCAGGGCCCCGCACAGGCGCGCGTAGTGGAAAGTGAGAAACTCCGCCAGCTCCTTGTAGCGCTCAGAAGGCAGCACGCGCAGGCGCCGTGCCCGGATGCGCGCCCGCAGCGCCGCGCCGGCGGGTGCCCCGAGCAGCGGGAACCAGCGCTCCAGGCCGGCGGCCGGCGCGCGGGGGGCGCCCAGCTCCTCCAGCGCCAGCGTCGCGCGGCCCAGCGGGGCGCTCCCCGGGCCCGCTCCGCGCAGCCGCAGCGACAGACGGTGCGCCGGCGGCAGCGCCTCGAAGTGGAAGCGCTCTGCCCAAAAGAGCGGGCCCGGACCAGCCCGCTCCCCGGTGCGCGCCAGCAGCGCGCCGTCCAGCCACAGCTCCACGCGCACTCCCGGCGCCGCCGCCGCCGTCCGGGGCAGTCCCTTCACTTCGTGCACCCACACGCTCAGCCACGTCTCTTCGCGCTCCACGTTGTCCTGCGGACCAGAGTGGTGGGAGGAGTGGGTGTTCGATGGTGGGCACCAGAGGTGAAACTCGGGCCCATGTCCGCAGGGAAATCCCTGGGTCCCTGGGGAAGAGAGTAGGGCCACAGGGGTCCCAAGGGGACCACGTGGAAGCCCTTTAGCTGCTCTGAGATCTCCCGGAAGAATCGGGGATGTTGCGCGCGGAAGAGCAGCTGCGGTGGGAAGATTTGGCGGCTACCTCGTCGGCGGGACTTTGGGTGCAAATTGAAAAGAAGGGCCCGGGCCCGTGTGCAAGGGGCTGGTACGAGATGAGGAGGGGCTGAGAGTGGTTGCACAGGTGCGGGCGGGCAAAAGCGGGATCTTCCGCAGTGCTGACCTGGCTGGGCTGGAAGTGGCGACGAAGGTCCTCGATCCAGCGGTCTCTCTCAGCAGCCGAGCGACAAGAGAAGCAGCGGCTCCCGCCTACCCAGGTTACCTGTTGAGGAAGCGGATTCCAGGTCGCGGTGGAGACCAAGCGTGAAGCCCAAGGATCGGGATGACGTGAAGAGTTGCCCACATTTACCTGGAAGCAGTGGGGCTCATCCAGGAGGCTGGGGTGCAATGGCCAAACCCGCACATTCCGCTGGGCACCCAGGTCCAGTTCAGAGAGTGTGGCCAGCGATTCCCGAGAGCCCAGAGCACTGGGGGGTCTGGAGAGGGTGGTGGGGGAAGGAGTGTCATGTCTATCTTCTCCCCTCATCACCCCCTACAGCCTGAAGGGTGGAGGGAGGCCAGGATGGACTTGAACCTAAATTGGACTTGAGTCCATCACTTTTAGGATCAACCCAGCTTCTCATGGTGGCCTGAATGACCTTGTATAGTATAGCCCTTGTCATCATAGCCTTCGTTTCCCTTCACTTAATCCTTCGTTGTCTGGAATCAGGTCACACTGGACTTATTTTTGTGTCTTCATCCGACCTCTTGGCCTTTTCACATGCTGTTCCCTCTGTCTGGAATGCTGTCCCGCCCTTCTTGGCCTAGTTAATTCCCACCCATTATTCAGACCTCAGCTCAGTTTCCTCCCCTGACACTCTCAGACCAGGATTTTGATTTAGTTCCTGTTTTAGAGTTACTGTGTCAGACCCTGCTCCCACTCTTCCATGGGGGATTGGCTCCATGCTGCGATCTTTCCGTGGCCCTAGTATGGCCCAGCACAGGGCAGGACACAGAGGGCATGTGGTGAAAGTCAGAGTGAAAGGCAGGAGGAGGGGGAGGGGACAATGCTGAATCCCAGCCCCGCCAGCCCCTCAGAGACTCTTACCCATCCCGAGAGGCACTGGCTCCCAGCTCTGACCTGGCCTTCTTCTTTTCTTTCAGCCGTTTGAGCAACCCCTACGGAGAGAGGGGTGTCAGCTGAGCAGAACCCTGTGCTCCCACTTCAGCTCCTTCTCCCTCAGGGTGTCCTGGAGGATCTGCTATTCTTGGAGGACCACAGACTCAGGCTGTATTAGCGTGAATAATAAAGGCCACCACTAGCTCCCATTTTAAAAGCACCAATTGTTTGCTTTCCTGCATTCTCTATCGATGTCTCACAAACAGCCCAGAGAGGGAGGTCTTCCCATTAGCTCTATTTGACAGAGACCCTGAGGCCCAGAGAGGTTCAGTGATCCGCCCCAAATCACCCAGTAAGAGTCCCCTTTCACCTCTGAGGGTCTGGAAGTATTTGTTCTCCCCACCTCCCCATCCCCCAGTGGATGCCTCACCCGGACGTTGTGGACCTGGTTGGAGCCAGCAGCCTCCGGCTCAGTCCTTCCAGAGACTCGGTCTGTGGTGTTTGGGGATGGAAGGTTGGGAGATGGGATCATCTTGGATTCTGATCCACCCTGTCACGCTCCCAAATGCCCCAGCCCTCCTCACCTCTCACACTTACTTACCTGCCTCCCTGAGGTTCCCCATGGCCACCTGGATGCTGCTCTCAGAGCTGGCGCTCCCCATCCTGGACTGGCGAGGACCCTGTTCCTCCGTGGGAGTGGGTAGTCAGAAAGGGCAGGCAGGCAGGCAGGTGGAGGGAGAGGCAGATGCTTCCCATTATCCCATTCCTTCCCCTCCTTCCTTCCTCTTACCCACAGGCCCTCTCTCACCTCTTCCTCACCCCCAAGCAGCACCAGCCTCCCATCGAGCAGAGTGAAGGCTTCGATGTTCCAGACAGGCACATCGGGTGGGGGCGCCTCAGGGATCTGTGGGGTTGGGGGCTCCGGCTCGGGCTCGGGCTCTGGGTGGAGGAAGAGGTGCTGGGGTATTGGGACTTCTTCCTGAACCTCAGACCCCCCTTTTCACTCACCAAAGCTCAACAGGGCTCCCTCCTAATTGCCTCCTCTTCCCCTTACTCCCCCAAGGCAGCCAAGTCAGGTAGTTGTTGAGCAAAACTCTCTGGACCTTGTCTCCACTGGCGTTGGGCAGACTCAGCAGCCCACCTACTATGTGACCTGTACCGTGTTCACTGCTCCACACGCCTCCTCTCATTTAGTCCCCCAAAGCCATTAAAAGGGCTATTATAAGCCCCATTTTACCAAGAAGGAAACTAAAGCCTAGAGAGATGAAATGACTTGCCCAGGTTCACACAGCTTGTGAGTGACTGAGCTGGACCTCAGACATAAGCATCCTTCTCTCTCTCTCTCTCTCTTTTTTTTTTTAAAAATATGTTTTATTGACTTTTTACAGAGAGGAAGGGAGAGGGGTAGAGAGTTAGAAACATCGATGAGAGAGAAACATCAACCAGCTGCCTCCTGCACACCCCCGACTGGGGATGTGCCCGCAACCAAGGTACATGCCCTTGACTGGAATCAAACTCGGGACCCTTCAGTCCGCAGGCCGACACTCTAGTCACTGAGCCAAACCGGTCAGGGCAAGCATCCTTCTCTTAACCAAGACAGTGGTTGTATCAGCAAGAATAACAAAGGTCCAAGAAGTTAAACAACAAGACAGCAGCCTTGGTTCCTTACATCAATAACTAGTCTAAGGTGGACTACATTCAAAGTTTGAGAAAGGAATAGAAAAAGGCCAGGGTAGGGGGTGGTGGTTGTGCAACAGGCCAGGGAAGGCCTCCAGAGAGAGTAAGTTTGTGCTAGGACTTGAACAGCAGGTTGGATTTTGACAGAGATGAAGGGGATGGTGGCAGGAACAGCTTGATCAAAGGCTGAGAGATGGCAAGGCCCAGGGACACAAAGGGAAGGGCAAAAAAATAAAAAATAAAAATGGAGGGCTCAGAGGCTAGAAGAGAAGGTCCAGGAAGAGATTGGTTCAGGACCTTGGGTGCCAGTTAGAGGTTTTATCCTGGGGGGAGTGAGGAGCCATGGGCATCCTCACATGCGCAAAGATGAGGCCTGCTTGTTAGAGAGCTCTCTCTGGATACGATGGAGTGGGCAATACCTAATACCCTGGAAGGGGGTTGAAGGGATGCTTTTGCCAAATGAGACTATGAATGGTGAGCATTAACTGAGCTTCCAGGAATAGGAGAGCTAACAACCAACCCTCCCAGATGACCCATCTGTCCTAGTGTTTTACCACTAGGGGGAGAAATAACTCCCATGTTAATGGACCACTTAAAATATGCTGGACACTGGGCTAGTGCTTCATGCTCCAGAGCTCCAATCCTCATGACACCCTTCTAGATCCCTCTGTGGGACACTGAGCCCTATCTGTCATTTTCTTGTTTATACTCGCTACTGTCTTTCGTGCCCACGACACTGTGAGTCTCATGGGGCAGCCAGTGACATCTCTTTTAGTCACCGCTGTTTTCCTCGGTGCCTAAATCAGGGCCTGGCACATAGTCAATGCCCAACAGGCCTCTGTTTCAATGAATGAATAAATGAAGGAAGGAAATCATATACCCTTCAAGGTAGGGATCATGATTCCCACTTCATTGATGGGGAAGCTGAGGCCCAAGGAAGTGAAGAAACTAAAACATGGAAGCTGGAGGGCAGGAGAGCAGGAGGAGGCTGAGATGGACCTCCAGGCAGGAGAGGATGAGAGTGGGCCAGTGGATGTGACAAGAGACCAGTTGGGGCCAAAGGGCCATTTGGCATCTGGATAGTGCTATCATCAGTCTATTCATTCCCTGTGTCTTCCCCAAGCTGGACCCCCTTGCCCACAGCTCCTTCGCCACACCCCACACCCCCAGGCCCTGGGTAAGGGGGAAAGAGGGAAGAGGGCAGCTGGGCCCCAGCCACTTCCTGTTGGGCTTCTGCACTCCCCACAACTTCCTGTGTCTGTATGGCTGATGCTCTGGAGGCAGACAAAACCCAAGCATCCGGTCTCCCAGCCCAGCCCCAGCTCTGAATGACGGAGCCATGTACCTGAGGCTTCTGGCTCCGGCTCTGCCTCCAGTGATGGGCTCTTATGCCTCCCCCAGAGGGTCTTGGATAATCTGAGGTGGTTCCTGCGAGACTCCTTGGGGGGCGCAGAGCTGACACGACGGAACAGCGAGCGACGGGCAGGTTGGCTGCTGACCATGGGCTCCTGGTGGCTCAGTGCCCTCCCCCAGCTGGCAAGGCGGCCCCAGTGGAACCCTCCAGCTCCCTTCTCTCCACCGCCTCCTGTGTGCCAGCGATAGGAGGTTAGCGGAGTTTGGGCTGCATGCTGGGTTTTGGAGGACTGGCTTCTTGCTAGTGGGTTCATGGTGGGGATTCTCCTGGGAAACAAGAGGGTGACAGTTCTGTCTCGTGTCTACCCACATGCTGCCTTCATCTCGGCCCCCTCCCCACTCTCAGCCCTGCCCCCAGAAAATCCCCTTGGGGGCCACACGCACTCCCTCTCTTACCTTGATTTCCTGATCAGCCGAGAGGCAACAGCCGTCTGCACACTGCCTGGCTTCCTCCTGCTGAATGCTACTCCACGTGACCCTGTCTGTCCCACCCCACCCCACGGCCAGGTTGGGAGGGCACAGTGTGGGCAGGATGCAGAAGGAGAGGAGGTGCCAGAGCAGGAACACAAATCTCTCACTGACCAGAGGAGGCAGCATATGCCCCTCTCTGAGCCTCAGTGGCCTTCTTTGCAAGATGGGCACCTGTTGTCCAAGTGCTGGGGAGAACATCGAGCCCCTGGAACTGCCTGTCATCCACTGCTGGTTAGAGCGTAGACCAATTCATTCAAGTTGGAAAACTGTTTGGTTGACAAACATTGACTGTACAGCTTTCCTCTGACCCAGCAGTTCACCCAATAGACTATTCGTAATAGCCCCAAACTGACAACAACCCAAGTGTCCATATACCCTAGAATGAGCAAATTGTGGTCTGTTCCCACAGTGGAATACCATGCAGCAATAAGAATGAACAAACGACTGAATGATTGAACTCAGATGAATTACAAGCAATGCTAAGCAAAAAAATATAAATAAATAAAAAGAAAAAAAGAGAAAACTATACACTGTATTGTTCCATTTATATAAAGCTCCAAAGCAGACAAAACTATGTCCAATAAGTCAGGATGTCAGTTTCCTTTGGAGGGGCTAGAGAAAGGGGGTATGAGAGGCCTTGGGAACTGATATCGTTTTTATGGCTTTTAAAATTGAGGTGAAAGTCACATAACATAAATTTTATAGGTCTATTTCTTATTTTTAATTCTCACTTAAGGACATCCTTAGACAGAGGAAGGAAGAGCGAGGGAGGAAGAGAGAGAGAGAGAGAGAAAAAAACATCAATGAGAGAGAGAAATATCAGTCGGCTGCCTTCCGCATGTTCCCCGACCAGGGATCGAACCCACAACCCAGGCATGTGCCCTGAACTGGAATCGAACTGACAACCCTTCAGTGCTCAGGATGACACTGAGCCACTTGGGCCCAGCAAACATGCCTATATCTTGAGCTGGGTGTTGGTTATATGAATGTGTTGGGCTGTGAAAACCACTGATGCACTTTTCTAATAAATGTTTTCTTGAAAAAAGAGATGGGCAAATACCGTTGTAAGAAATAAATGAGTCAACATGAGAGTCAGTAGAATCGGGCCCAGGGGTGTCTTTCAGTCCCAGCTGGTCCTTCTCTAGATATGTGACCTCAGGCAAGTCACTTCCTCTCTCTGAGCCTTGGTTTCCATATTTGTACAACACAATGATAATATCAGTTTCAGAAGCTTTATAATAAGAGCCTTCTTTTAGTTAAAAAAATGTTTCCTGAGTGCCTACTATGTGCTAGGTGCTGGAGAAGCTATGGGGGAACTACACCAACACGATTCCTGCCCTCCCAGAGCTCACAGTTTAGTGAGGGAAACAGATCCTGAACACAAATGCCAGACATTTCTACCTGGTGAGGAGGACTTGGAAGAACATACACAGACTGAAGTAGAGAGGCTGAGCAGAAGGAATGCTCTCTGAACCGGAAAAATCCAGGAAGGCCTCCCCGAGGAGGTGACATTTGCAACCTGAAGCATGAGAAGGAGCTGGCCATGGGAAGAGCAGGCTAGGGAGAAGGAACAGTTTGTGAAAAGGCAAGGGAGACTGGAATCCAGGGGGTGGGATGGGTAGGATCACCTCGATGGATGTGTGGCCTGTGCAGTCACTCCAGGAGCCCACACGCAGAAGAGCTCTACACTATATTTGATTTAATGCTCTGCTATCATTGTCTTGAAGTTCTTGCTTTTTGAACAATAGGCCCTGCATTTTCATTTGTACTGGGCCTCGCAAATTCTATAACCTAGTGGTTCTCAACCTGTGGGTCGCGAACCCTTTGGGGGTCAAACGACCCTTTCACAGGGGTCACCTAAGACCATCGGAAAACACATATGTAATTACATATTGTTTTTTGTGATTAAGCACTATGCTTTAATTATGTTCAATTTGTAACAATGAAATTGGGGGTCACCACAGCATGAGGAACTGCATTAAAGGGTCACGGCATTAGGAAGGTTGAGAACCACTGCTCTAACCTGTCCTGAGAATGAGGGTGTTCAGGCAGGTGCACACCCCTTAGATATGCCCACCTTATTCATACTGTGTCAGGCTACTCACCACACACACACACACACACACACACACACACACACACACACGGAGTCTCCCTGAGTTCTGCTGCATCCCTGAGTGTTTACCACCTCATTGCATACTGGCTCCACTCCCAACTCCCTGCAATTTTTGCTGGAGGACTTTCTCTGACAGATGGAGCCCATGCAACAAGCAGCCCCAAAGTGCCGGAGAATTAGCACTTCCCTGAGAAAAGCCCTCAGCCAATGATTGTGGGAGTTGGAGGATCAACAGTCCCCTCACTTCTTGGGTGGGAAAACTTTGAGATACGTATCCTATGCTGTCCTCCAGAAGTCCCTAGTGGGACTGAGCTCCATGTGCCCCAGTGCCAACTTGCTTGGTAAAGCACCCTTTCTGGGCTTCCTTTTCCCACCTCTCTTCCTTGTTCCCCAATGATCTGTCCTGGGATCGCCTCCCATGCTACTTGCACTGGAACTTTTATCTCAGGGTCTGATTCTGGGCAAACACGGATGATGCATAGACACAGGCTTTCTTCACACGGTCTCTTTATTGCAGGTCTGTGGCCGGCATGGTCACTAGAGGCGGCTTCCTCTTGGATCTCCTGGAGGTGCTCTTCGCAGTCCTTGGCTTTACATTCTAGAAAAGGCAAGAGACTGTGAGGCTTGGGGGTAGGGTGAAGCTGGGTCTCCTCTGCTCCTGGTGGGAGCCTGAGGAAGAGGACAAAGTGAGGGGATGGGTACACACGGACGGCAGGCCAGCTTCATGAAATAGAACGGGAGTGTGCAGGTAGCACGAGATTGTGCAGGTGTGTGAGTAGAGGTGTGTGTTGATCGAGGGGCTGGGGCCAAGGTTGTGCTGTTTGGGCCTAGATGGCTGCAGCATCAAAGGTCAGGGAGGCTGGGGCGGAGCAAGCATCCTTAGGGCTGAGGTTGTCTGGGCAGAAGACTGCAACACACCGTTAGGAGCTGGACAGAGATGTGCAGGCAAAGCGGTTTTTGGTAGAGGGACACCACTAAGGTTACTGTTGGGTATACAGAGGTCTTTTGGGTAGGGGGCTGGTGTGAGGCCAAGGTTAGGTGGGCTGGGATGAGATTGTGCAGGCAGCAGCGATGTGACTCGGGTACAGGTGATGCGGTTGTGTGGGCAGAGGGGCTGCTGCAGGAATCAGGGCCCATGCCCTGGTTGTGAGCACAAACGTACTGGAGGCTGGGCAAACAACAAGCTGGCTGGGTCAGGGGCTAGGCTAAGGTTGTGCAAGCAGAGGACAGGGGACAGGAAATGTTGTGAGCAGAACAACTTAAAAGCTGGGACTAGGTTGCCCGAATAGAAGGGCTGCAAGGGAGACCAGGGGCCTGGCTGAAGCTGTGTGAGTGTAGGGGTTACAGGAAAGAGAGGGGCCTGCTGAGGTTGGGCAGACAGGCAAGGGTCAGGGGCTGAGCTTGTGTCACATGGGGGGCAGGCCCAGGTCATGTGGACGTCGGACGTCGCAGACTCACCACGTCGAAGTGCGGCCAGCTGCGCAGCTGGTGGAAGAGCGCGTCGCCAGGGCACTCGGTACGCACGAGCTGGCGGTGGCCGAGCAGCGTGTAGTCCGGCCGCAGGAAGCCAGCGCGCACCGCGCACCTGGGAAGCGTGTCGCGCACCGTGCGCAGCGCGGCCTCGGCAGGCAGCTCCGCGGTGTAGTTGCCCACGAAGGCCACGCCGAAGCCGCGGGTATTGTGGCCTAGAGTGTGCGCGCCTACCCGGTGCCAGCCTCGGCCCTCGTACACGTAGCCGTCTGAGCCCACCACGAAACTGCGGAGACGGGGCAGGCACCGCGCGGCGTCAGGGTTGCCCTGTCCCATATCTATGCCAAGTCCTGCCTGGTCGCCCTATGCCTGGCCCAGCAACGTCCCACTCCTCCACCAAATGTCACTGCAGAAAACCTCCCGTTACTCTGCCATTGGCCACGCCCCTTTCTCAATTCACAGCGCTTTCTGTCTTAGGCTCAACCCCATCACTATTCCGCCCCTGTCCCAGCCTCAGTCCTTATCACTGGTCCTGCCCCTCTCCCAGGTGCCGCCTCCTCCCCCTATCTTACCCCGGACCCAAGGGTCCCATAGTTGGTCCCACTGCAAAGGCCCCGCCCTCGTCTAGGCCCCGCCCCTCTCCACCTTGGCTCCACCCGCCCCGCTCCTCCGTTTCTCCAGCTTTGCTCTGGTCCAACCCGCCCCCCCGCGTTAGGCTCCGCCCACCCAGGCTCTGCGCCGAGTGACCGGCTTCGCCCCCTCCCAGACCCGGCCTACCTGTAGCCGATGTCGTCCCAGCCGCGCGTATCCTGGTGAAAGCGCTGCATGGAGCGCATGTTGGCCGCGCAGCGCGCGAAGGTGGTGCAGGGAAGCGCGGGCTGGTATGTGTGATGCACATACAAGGACCCGAGCGGCAGCCGTAGCGGCGTCGGACGGCCCCGGTACGGAGCCGCACTCCAGCGGCAGCGGGGGTGGATGGCCGGGCACCCTGCGGAGAAGGGCGTCCAGGGCTGGGGTGAGCCACCGTTCCTCTTTCTGCCGCCTGTACCTCCATTAGAGCGCACCTAGGGGCCATTTCCCCAGCCTCCTTTGGGATCTAACCACGAATCCAATAGCATCTCAGTTCTATTGGAATATTGGCTATGCCTCCCACCCGCTTCGGGATAAACCCCAAGAATTGTAGTTCAGACTCCAAGGATCTTTTCAACCCAGGATCTTTACAACACTCTCAGCAGCTGGCCCTGCTCTGAGCCCTAGGAGAGACAGCCACACTGAGAGCCACACTGAGAAAAGAGGAACGTTGGCCCGCATTTATTATGCTCTAGTTGTGTGCTACTTGCTTTACATGCTTCATCTTTCTCAAACCATCCAGCAAATCCAAGAGGTAGAAGATTTACCCTGCTTCACGGAAGAAAGTGGGGTTCAGAGAAGTGAAGCAGCTCACCTAGCTGCATAGGCTGAACTTCCATTGCAATCTCCGTGCCTTTGCATGTGCTGAGCCCATCTCCGGCAATGCCTTCTTTCTCGCTTCTTTTTGGAGTGTGTGTGTTTGTGTGTGTGTGTGGGGGGGGGGTGTCAGACAAACTCCTATTGATCCTTCAAGACCCGAATCTAGCCTTTCCTCACCTGTACAGCTGCCCTGGCTCCCCAGCCAGAGCCCTATTGCTCCCTCTGGAACCCCTAGTCCTGGATCCCCCTGACCTCATGGGACTGAGAGTGTCTGTCTCGGAGAGGGAGGGTCACAGGGGTTGGGGGCCCTTCTCACCCAGGAAGGCCTCAGTGAACTCCTTGGCAGCACGGGTGGCCGCCTGCGCCAGCTCTTTTTGGCTCAAGCCCTGCAGCTGAGGGTGTGCTGGCTCCAGCCCCTGTAGCAGGATGAGGGCGCCCCACACCTGCTGGGTCAGGGCAGGGGCTGAAGTCAGAGCAGCTCCGTTCTGCCGCCGGAAGTTGCTGCGAAGTCCCGGATCTCCGGCCACCCCAGCTCCATAGTACTGGCTCAGGAGGCGGTGGAGGGGTGGCCGGGGCTCAGGGGCCCGACTCAGGTAGTCCCCGAGGAGGGCCCCATCCAGAGCACCGTTGAGGAAGGCTGTGGTAACCGGTGATGCCTCAGGGTCCAGGAGTGTGAAGTTCCTGGGGACAGAGTTCTGGTCCCAGCAGCCCTCAGCTCCCAGGCCTGGGTGGCTCTGGGTTTGGGGGTTCTGGAGGAAGGCCAGGCCCAGGTCTCTGGCCAAGGTGACCACCAGGAGGCTGTCCACAGTGGTCGGAGACTTTGCTGTGGCATCTGGCGAGGAGGTTTGGTCATCTGGAGAGGTGACTCTGTCATCTTTAAAGATGGCTCCTACATTGAGATCTGTGGTTCTAACATTTGGAGACATAGCCCTGACATCTGCAGAGCTGACATCTGGAGAGACATCCCTGAGTCCTGGGGAGGTGGCTCTTGCATCAGAAACCTCAGCTCCCACATCGGGAAAGGTGTCTCCAGCACCCAGAGGGGTGGCTGTGCTGCACAAGGGCAAGTCTATGACCCTGTGGCCCTGCAGCCCTGCTTCCAGCCCTGCCAGAAGAGGCTCCACAGCCACCGTGGAGCCATCGGGGGTCAGTACCACCCCGTATTCCCGCCCACCCCGCACATGATGTCGGGCCACCTCCTCCATCAGGCCTTGCAGCTCTGGGCTCAGTGCAGAAGGATCCAACTTGGTGACTTTGAGACTTCGTTCCTTTAGTAGGAAGTGATGGAGGGGATCGTGGGGATCAGAGTCCCAGGCTGACAGGTGCCACACAGAGACAGTGTGGTTGGCCTCCGTGACCGGCACTTTCTGCTCCAGCTCAGCCACAGCCTGGATGACAGAGTCCATGAGGAGGGGCAGGGATGCTGTAGAAGGAGGGATGGCATTAACCCCGTGGCCCAGCACCCCTGGTTCCTGAGCCTCCCTCTGCTCCTTCCACATCTTCTCAATGCCCTCTCCTCCCCCTCTCTCTCTACCCCCCGCCTCTGACTACCCTGTGATGCCCCAACACCATCCTCATGTAAATGATGAAACAGAGGCACAGACAATCTGTGAGCACTGGGGAGCCATGGCAGATTCATGAGCAGGAGCGAGATGCAGCCAGGCTGGCCTTCTAAGATTGCTCCTTGGGTTGCCTGTGGAGAATGAATGTTCAGGAGGCTAGAGTAGAGAAGGGGAAACAGTATGGAGGTGAGCAATAGAGATTGCTAAAGCTAAGTGATGGCTGTGTGATGGCCAATAGTGGGCAGAGTCCCCAGGTAGTTTGAGGGAAAGACGGACAGTTTTTGTGTTTTGGGTTGGACTTTGGGGAATTTTATAGGGTGAGGTGTCTGGAGGATGCTCAGGGGAGGAGAGGATGGGCCTTGTGAGGGACATGTCAGCAGCTGAACCTGGAACCTAAAAGTACTAGGCTCAGGGCTGGAGTGGGTTGTTGAATAACAGCTAACATTTATCAAACATTTATTTTGTGCTAGGCGCCATTCTAGGTAACGCACATAACAACACATTTAATCTTCACAATGACTCCATGAGCCCCGAGGGGTTAAATGACCTGCCCAAGGTCACACAGACAGGAAGTGGCAGAAGCAGGACTTTTAACCCAGGAATTCTGATTCTTCTCCAGACAGTCCACACTATAATCCCTCTGTTCTTCTCGCTGCCTAAAATGCCCTTTCTTGCTTCTCCCCAAGTAAAAGTCTCCTTCCTGTCCTAAATCTGTGTCCCCTCCTCCGGGAAGCCTTCCTGATTTTTGTTCTTCTGGTCCCAATCTTTCCCCCAACCCCTGCCTTGACCCTGTAGGGCTGGGAGAATCTGTGTCCCCAGACTGGAGGTTCCTCGAGACTGGGGTCTCCTGAGGATTCCAGTCTTACCCTGTAGAGGGCTGGACACAGAGGGGATAGCAGTACACTTCTGCAGAATTGATTGTCCTTGCCGCAGGCCTCTGCCTTCTGACCTACCTGTCCCTGGTTCCGGACATAGCAACAAGCCAAGCAGGATCCAGAGGATACCCTGGACTACCGTTGTGGGGTTCCAGCTTCCGGGGGGCATATCCGGTTGACCTCAGCAGAGACCTCAGCGGAGCTAGAAATAGACAGGCATGGAGAACTGAGTGGTGCCTTTGGCCACTGTCAAAGTCCAGGGGTGAATGACATGGTTGCCTCTTGCAGAGCTGTGGGCGGGAGGCAGGGGGAGCGTGGGGACAGTGCCCCAAGTCAAGGACATCAGGGGCTCCCCCATCCTATCCTTTCCCTCCCAGGGGGAGATCAAGACTCAGTAAACCAGGAGGCATCTGGAGGCCGGGTAGTTCAGACTCCAACAAACTGCCCATCCAGCAAGCCCTACCCCTTCCTTTCCTGATCATCCGCAGGTGCAGCTGCTGCCGGCCACCACAGGGGGCTCTCAGGTGCCAGCCCAACTGGTAGGACTGGCTGTGCTGGGGGAGGGGAGAGAAGGACACACCTGAAGTTGGCACTGCCTCCTGTCTTTGCTGCCAGCACTTTAGGCTCAGGCAGAGAATGGGTACAGGGACTGGGGAGTATTTTTGCCAAGGCCACTGTGAGCCCAGGGGACGAGGAGATGTCTTCTCTCATCCAGTTCCAGCTCCAGATCCCCGGCCACTAGGTGCAGCTGGAAGCAGGGGTTGGGTCTGGGCCTTCTGGACCCTGACTTTGTCCGAGGAGCTGGTTTCTTGGCTCACCTGGGCTGACAGTGAGGGGTCCCTCTTCTCCTGGGGCTGTGTCTGAGTCCTGCTGAAGTGAGACTGCCTCCCCTTTATTTGTGCTGCAGGTGGGATGGGCTCAATGTGACTGGGGCTGCTGCTGTGTAAATTGCTTCACTGTGGGCCTCCCACCTCGAAACTCGCCTGGGAATGCCTAGGCTGAGCCCGGCTTGGAGTTCCCCGGGGTGGGGCCTGCTCAGATATCCAGCGTCCTCCTTCTGGGGACTCAGCATCATCCTGGGTACACAAAGTGGGGCACACCGTGGGAGCTCGGGAGGAAGGTCCTAGGGGAGGGAGTGAATGGGGGCCACTCCCCAGGGGAATCTGAGGAAATCTCCTCCTCTGAGGATTTTGGGACGGGCCTCTGCCTGGTAGAGCTGAGGGCAGGAAGTGGTCTGTGTGTCCATCTGGGGCAGGGACTGGAATGAGGAGAGTGAGGTATCCTCCTCAGATACAAAACGTAAGGTGGTGTCGAAAATCTCAGTCATCAAGATAAGTACTATTTTAATACAATATTTTAGTAGACTAAAGTGAATGCAAAAAGTCCACGCTGAACAAACATTTTAGGTAAGTGTTTATCAACATGCTAGATAAAGTCAGGATCTGGAACAGTGCTGTGCAGAGACTGCTGGAGCCAGAGGTGGGAGGAAAAATCAGGAATTTTGATCCTGTCTCTGTGTCTCACTTCCTTCACCCTAATCCCAGTGGCCCTGCGTAGACTGGGGCGGGGTGGGGGAGTGAGGGGTAGCCCTGAGATGCTGTGAGGGTGGCTGTCACATGAGATCCCACCTGATGTCCACCTGGTCTGGCAAGGGCTTTGATTCAGCGCTATGGATCCCGGGTTTGTCCCTCTGATTCCCCCACTGATTGCAGCTGTGGGGGACCTTGCGGTTTTATTTAACCACCTTATGTCCATTTTACCCTGCAGGAGGGTAAGCTCAGAGAGGTTAAGTATGATGTCCAAGGTCACAAAGCTAGAAACTGGGAAGGGATCCAAGTCCAGTGCATGTTTCCACTATCCTGTGGTTGGGTCAAGGTCAACGTAATGTCATTATGACCCTTCACCCTGGGGAAGTGTTTACAGAACAACTTCAGCCAGGAATTCCTGAGCCAGCCAGAGAGGCCGCCCCGATTCCCTTTTAAAGCCTGGAGTTAGTGGCGGGGGGTGGGTTGAGTTTGAGCCAGGGAAATGCCATGGCCGGCCCACATTTCACTTAGGGTCAGCCCGGGATTTGTGACCTCCTAAGGCCGTGGTCGGCAAACTGTGGCTCGCGAGCCACATGCGGCTCTTTGGCCCCTTGAGTGTGGCTCTTCCACAAAATACCACGTGTGGGCATGCATGGACAGCGCAATTGAAACTTCGTGGCCCATGCGCAGAAGTCGGTATTTTGTGGAAGAACCATACTCAAGGGGCCAAAGAGCCGCATGTGGCTCCTGAGCCACAGTTTGCCGACCACTGTCCCAGGGTAAGACCCTTTCTCCAGGAAGCCTCTCTGATTACCCTTGGCTCCTATCCTGGCTCCCTAGCCTGAAGTTCCCCCCTTTATCCCAGACCTGTTCATACAGGCCTGGGAGTTTCTCTGTCCAGTGCCATCTCCCTGAGAATAGGAGATGCTGAGTCTTCTTGGGGTGTCCGGAAGTGCCCAGCACAGGTCGGGGACCAAGTGGGTGGCAGGGAGAGATTGCTGAGTACATGAAAGGCTTGATTGCGGATGTGGGATTAGTTTGGGGTTGGGCTGTGAAACACACATGCACGCATACACAAGTATGCACGCACCCACACTCCAAGGCACCTGGTCTAGGCTGGGCCTAGGAGGAAGCAGAAAGGCTGGGGTTCCAAGGATGAATCACCCTCACCCCTACTTTTCTCCCACTTCTTGAGGCCCATCTGCCAGGGTAGGTCAAAGGCCCCTCCAGGCTGCAGGCAGACTAGGGGTCTCATGAGAATAGTCACTGTTCAGGGCCAGGGGACAGCCCTAATGGAAGTAACATTGGCACAGAGCCCTGCGCCCTGGATCTGAAGTGAAGCTGGGATCAGGGCCAGAGATCAGAGGAAAAGAATTTTGGGGCAGGACTGGGCTTGGGGCTAAGGTCAGAGTTAATATTCACTTTAGTAGCAGTAATATAATAATAATGAAGACCCTAATAATAGTAATAATAATTGTTGTGTGCAGGGCTTCGAGCTAAGATTTTATATGCTTGTGTTTTTATTCAGCTCTGGGTTTTGTTAAGAGACATCGTACAACAGGAGTAAGCCAACTACAGCCTATGGACCGGCTGTCTGTTTTGTGAACAGTTTTTTGTCCCTCAGTGAAAGTCACCTTACATAAAATGAACTGTTTTGGAGTGTACACTTCTGTGGCATTTAGTACAGTCACAATGTTGTGTAACTGCCACCTTTACCTAGTTCTAAAACATATTTACCATCATGAAATAAAGCCCTGTACCTGCTAATCAGCCCTTCTCCATTATTCACCAGCCTGGGCAATCACTGATCTGCTTTCTGACTCTATGGACTTGCCTGTTCTGGACATTTCATATAAACAGAATAATGCACTATGTAACTTTTTTTTTTTTTAATTTCACTGAGCATAATGGTTTTGAGGTTCATTCACATTATAGTATGAATTAGTGCTTTTTATCATGGATCGATCCTTTTTATGGCTGAATAATATCCCATTGTATGGAATATTCATTTGTGTAAAATGGAAGTTTATTGGAATACATCGTTTCTTATTTGTTTATATATTGTGTATGACTGTTTTCATGCCATAACAGCAGAATTCAGTTGTTTTGACAGAGACTGTCTGGTCTGCAAAGCTGAAAATATTTACTGTGTGACTTCTCCCTTTCCTCCAGCTTGTTGATGTACTAGTGACCCAGTGCATGAAATTCGTGCACATTAAAAGGGAATTAATTAGAGGCAATATTTTAATATTGCTATTTGCCCTTTCTTTATAATAGAAGTGTCAGAGATGAAAGAAAATTAGTAAAATGTATATGAAAATCTTCCTCCTGTCAGAGTCTGGGGTGCGCCACGGGAATCAGAGTCAAGTCCCTGTCCACCCATGTGCGCCTTGAAATCGCACGAGACCCAGACCTGGCCAGCCTGACCCCATTGGGCTAGATCCAAACCCAGCCGGCCCCACCCTCATCAAGCCCTGCTGTGTATGGGGGGGGGGGCATCCTTAAGTCACTTGGCCCGGCACTGGGGTAGGGGGTGCTCCCTGAGGTCCCCTGTCAAGCCCCGCCAGGTGGGGAGTGAGGCCTCAGGTCCCACGGCCCGGCACTGGTGTGTGGGTTGCAGCCTGAGGTCCCCTGCCCCAGCCCAGCACCACACAACCTCAGGTCCCTGCTGATTGCTTGTTAAGGGTCATTATGGGAACTCGGCCTCCACTGTGGGCGCAGCCATCTTGTGTTATGGCATCCCTGCCTCAGCTGTGGGTGCAGTCATCTTGACCATTATGGTGTGATGGTCAATTTGCATATTCCCGCTTTATTATATAAGATCATCTATATATATAAAAGGCTAATATGCTAAGTGTCCTTCCCTCCACCCTGGTAATGATGTCACGTAGCAACGTCTGGCTTCCTCTCCCTAGCGACCACGAGCCTCCTGTGGTTTCTTCAGCCCAGGAACATGACTTGCTTTATAGCCAGGTGGAAACATTTCACACTGTAACCAAATGTCTGTGAAGAGTTTTTCCCATGCCTCATCTCATTTGATCCTCACAGAAGTCCTGGAGTAGGCAGATGGGAGACTCGGTGGAACCCTATTTTCTTTTCATTAGCCGGAAAATGGCCATTTAGAAAGCTTAGAAACTTGACACGACTGAAAAGAAGTAAGAAATGGTGGGCCTTGCAAATGACTTCAGGTTTTCTCACTGCACAGAATATATATAGTCAAACACTGCTGCAGTTAAATACTTCACCCTTTGTTCTCCCTGCATGATCTACAATAATAATCTGCCTTGTGTTGATATTTACTGCTGTGTGGCTGACAATTACCTGAAAGAGAAATTGGGGTGCTTTACTGGGCTGGAAAAAGTTTAGCTAAATCAGAAAGGTCTAATTAAACAAGTTTTTTCTATATCTATAAAAGGCTAAGTTGACTCGTGCATGTGTGATACATATAAAGCTTTCACTGGCGTCAATTCCATCTGTCATTGTCAATCGTGAATTTGGTTGACACTTCTATTATAGAGAAAGGGCGAATAGCAATATTAAAATATTTCTTCCAATTAATTTCCTTTCAATGTGCATGAATCATGCACCGGGCCACTAGTTGACATATAACATTGTGTAAGGTTAAGGTACACAATGAGTTGTTTTGATATATGTACATATTGCAAAATGTTTAACACAATACGATTAGTTAACACATTTTTTTGCCTCACATACTTTCCTTTGGTGTGTGTGTGTGTGGTGAGAACTTTCAAGACCTACTTTCTTAGCAACTTTTAAGCATATAATAAAGTATTGTTAACTATAGTCACCAAGCTGTACATTAGATTTTCAGAACTCATTTATCTTATAACTTAGAAGTTTGTACTGTTTGACCAGCATCCCCCAGCCCCTGGCAATCACCATTCTACTCTTTGTTTCTGTGAGTTGAATTTTTTTTTTTAGATTCCACATGTAAATGAGATCATACAGTATTCATCTTTTTCTGTCTGACTTATTTCACTTAGCATAATGCCCTCAACTCCCATTCATGCTGTCACAAACGGTAGGATTTTCTTTTATCTTATGACTGAATCATACACATATGTCCATCGGTGGACACTTAGGTTGTTTCCATGTCTTGGCTATTGTGAATGTGGGGGGTACAGATAGTAACTTCATTTGGTTTGGATTTATGTGGTCCTTAAAATATAGATATATTTTTTAGTTGTCACATTGTATTTTTATTTTATTTATTTATTTATTTATTTTTAAATTTTTTTTATTTTTTTATTGCTTAAAGTAAT